ACACCACTATGCAATTTGGAAACGGCCAGCAGTGCGGCTTCAGATGCCGCATGGCACATGGATGAGCTTTTGAGGGATTGCTTTGACTCTGCTTCTACTACTGCCATAAAACTGAAGTGAGAACCTGCCATGCAATTCGAAAGAGCAGCTTTTATAAGTGCCCTGATAAGCAGCACCTGGGCTTTCATATTGCACTTCCACTGGTCACAAGGGTTAGCTGTATTTATTGCTCATGTTATGAAAATCCAGCACTGTGCATGCAGAGAGACAGAGTCTTGGAGAGAGGAAATGGTCCTGTTATTAGCTTCACTAAGCTCTGGATAAATCCCCAAGGTGACAACTTTTACCAAAAAAAAAAAAAATCTAAGTCCATCAATAAAGAACTCATAATGTGAGTTCTTCTCTGGTTACAAACCATACAAGCTAGCCACTGATTTGTCTTCCCCCCAAATACAACAGTATATTACAATAAAAGTTTTCCAAAAATTAAAAACAATTAAAAAGAATAATATACACCTCATTTTTATCGCTCAATATACAAACAATCTTTGATTAACAGTATAAACCATTAAACCGTATAAAAGTCAAGAGTTTCTTATTGTACAAATAGTGCTTTCATAATTGAGTAACTTTACATTGCTGTGAGGGTACTGTCCGTATCTATGGATATATTGCTTGACAGTTTATTTAAAACCAAGACATTATACCTTATCCTCGGTTGATTGCATCAATCAAGCAGCCTAAAATGGGCAATGGATCCATAGGATCTCTGATTATTGCGAGCGATTTTCAAAAATCACCCAACATTAGCCTTGTTTTATACTCAGTGTAATCAAGTTAAACATCCCATTAATTTCAAGGGGAATGATGTTAGGAATGGAGGATTGAAAAAGCAACCTAGGTATGTGAGCCATGTCTCCTACCATTGTAGACACTACTTCACTTATTCCCTTTCATAAAATCCGAGGGTAACATTGATGGCGGTTGCAAATGCACACACTTCAGCGAGCTTGTGAGAGGTAAGGAGAAGTGTCTCAAGTCCAGCACGACTGGAAATGATGTACCGTATCAGCTACATAGCAACAAAACTTCCAACCAGTCCAGTTGTTAGTTGTTCTGGTTTTCACCTTACTAATCAGAAAAATCCATGACTTCAAGGAGAGGGGTACAGAGAGAGACCCCAAAGTCCACACTGTCACCCATCCAGTCTGCACCAGCTAAGAGGACAAGTGTAAAGCTGGTGGAGCACCTGCCCTGAATCCTGGCTCAAGGCATTTTGCCTGCTAACTTTGTGGTGCAAGAAGTAGCTTGTCTTTTGCCAGCTAGGTCTCCAGTTATCCATTTTTTCCTTTGAGAAACCCTTTGTATCAGATGCTACTGAAGGTACAGCCTACTCTCGCTGCACCCTTCTCTCCTAGGTATCAGAAGGAGGGGTTGCATGCAGTACCTCTGACCGACCTGCAATTCTCTGTCCACGCAGCCATGGTAAGACAGGCGATCTGTCAAAACACATGATGTTGAACAGAGGCAGGACGCGTGGCAGAAAGTAGAGCCTCTCATGGAAGTGCCGTGATTTCAGCTCCCCCGCATAATTAAAGTAATAGATAACCAAAAAGTGTTATCAGTTTGAAGTCTCACTGCCTGCCTACACACTTCCTCACATAAAAAGCAGTTGTTTCATCATGTCTCATCTTCATATCATTGTGTTTTTTCCTGATACTGAGCCAAAACATCATTTATTTCCTCCTTTTTTTTTTTTTTTTCTTGCCTGTGTCCCTGTTTGGCTATTGCGTTGAGTAGAAAATGAATTGAAATGGAGTAGAGGTTGTAGGTTTGGCCCTGAAGCGGTACCTGGTCCTGATATTTGGTTTGGTTCTCTATGGACAGGCCTCACCCTCCTGGCTCAGTGGAGGTCTGGCCCCGTCCCAGTGAAGAGTGGAGATCTGCAGCCTTTCCCTGGGAGGGGAGGCTGTGGCAGTGGTAAGCAATACCCTACTCCTTTAAAGCAAGAAAACGAGACATTACATCTTTGGTCCTAACGCAGCCCATTTAACAAGCTACTTGAAGGTGTCGTGTTTTTCTTTTCGTATAAACTTTTTTTTTCTTTTTTTTTTTTTTTATTATTTTAAAAAGCCTCCTTAAAAGTTGGATGTCAGAACAAAGACTTACACTTACAAAAAGCAAGCTAGAAAGTGGGATCCCAATATAAAAATTTGAACCAGTGGTGATAAAACATTACAAAGCATTCTTGATAAGTGTTATACACAGAGTGTGACATTTCATGAGCATACAGTTTCCATCAGGAAGGAGGACACGGGTGCATTTTCATACTTTGTCCTGATTCGGATGTTTTCTCACAGAGAAACGTGGGGTGGAACAAAAGCCAGAGTACCGTAACTGCTCATTTGGAGAGGCAGTGGTTTTACTAACAGGAGATGTTGAACTCTGAATCTGAAAAATGAGCACTTGTCTAGAAATGCAAAGTTTCTCCTTGGCACCCTGGAGCACCCCCAGACAGACCAAGGACACCCCAGACACCTTGTGATGGGACCCCTTTAAGCTGTTTGGGGTCCTGTGACATTGTTGTAGCCCCCACTGCATCTCCCAGGGAAGACAAGAGATTCACCCCACGGTACGGATGCTGCATATATTGGTTTTCGCACAAGCAATCTCTGCAAGAAGACTTCACTTCAGGCTGGTAGCAGGGAGAGGAGCCACATGCCTATTCCCACCCATACCTGCAGGAACAGTCAATGGCCTCAGTGATGTCCCTGGGCAAATTCAGCAGCTGTCTCAGGTATGGATTGGCCAGCTGTGCCCCTTCCCTGGCACTACTCTCCCTCCTTTTCAATAAACCACAGGACTGTATTTTCTAATGCCAGAGCTTCGTGTGGCCATCTGACAGTGATGCTGGTGGGACAGGGCATCGCCCTGAGGCATTCCAGACATCACCATCTATTTCCAACCACTCTCTCTAGAAAACTCACTGCATTGTTGCCTGCCAGCTGGAAAAAAAAAAAAAAAAACAACAAGCCCCTGGCCTCTTGGATTAATTTACCCAACAAGACCAATTGCAACATGAAGGAAATTTCCCAAGCCAACTCCCTTTGCAGCAGCAGAAGACAACCCAAGGCCCAAATAAAGTCAAGTGCACTGAGACTCTACACCGATCACTGGAAAACATCAAAGTAGGATGAATACTCAACTTAACTTATATTTTCATATACTTAGCAGTAGTTAAAAGTCTTATTCTTGCAAAAGCAGTTCCATATTAATTGCTGCTTTATGATCAAGAGATGCTAAGCACTAACTTGTGAGTAGTTTTATTTTATCTTCTGTGAAAAATACAGTAAAAAGGAAATTTTTTTTTCCTCAGTTGGTAAGACTCCATTAGCTTTCAAAAGTGGCGGTGGCCTGCTATATTTCCCTATTCAGTTGCGTTTTTAGAATCAGCATTTTCTACCCACACGTCCTGAGAGACAACGGCAGAACATTCAAGTTATTTTTGGATGCTGATTTATGTCAGCTCTCAAGATGCAGTGTATATATTTTTTTCCTAATATTTGTAAAAACACAACTTTTATGTCCCATTCAGTAGCCTGAATTCCATGAAATGCTGCATCAGCAAGGTCCCTTGAAATGCTGCTGAACTGTGTTCACTTTTATGAGCAACTGTGATCTTCAGGGGGGGGTCACTGCTGTTATATGGTCAGTGGGCTGCAGTGGGAAAACCAGTCCATTTCAGCAGGTTAATGATCATGGTTTTTTAATGTATCTTCCCCTGCAGGCACTGCCCACAGACTACAGCATGCTGCTCCATTTTTATTTTTTTGCTGGCTTTTGAATCGTTACTGAGCTCCTGATTTATAAATGATGGCTTACGGGGTGCCTGTTTACCAGAACTACTCTACTATATAGCTGATCCCACCGATCTGCAATCTGTACATTTGGAACAAGAATTTGTGGTCCTACATCCTCTTTCCTACTTTTCTCATCAAAAACAATACATTGAAAAAAGGATGCTCTTTCAAACTTACATTGCTTAATTTTTAGATGAATCTCCCTGTTTCTAGCAATGAGTTACTACTGAATCCTTCCTAAATTGTTATGGGCAAGCATATTTTCCTCAATTAAATAATTTTCATGCTACATAAAGCTGGTGATACATATTGCTACTACCTAGTGGATTGTTTCAGCTAACATTAACACAAAACATCAATAAATTATTTTGTGCAATAGTGTAGGAAAGATTCTGCAAGAGAACGTGCACTCTGTGACTTTGTCGTGTTCTGCTTGGAAACGTAATAGATTTAGCAAATTGAAAATCATCTGTGATTTCTGTTAAGATCTTTTTTTTTCTTTTTTTTTTTTTGGTTTTGTGTACATTCTTCCCAGGGTGGTGGGTGGAGAAAAGCAGTGCTGCCCATGCATGCATGTTGCACCCTTGTGAGAGCAACACAACAAATTGGCTCTCAGGAATGCAAGGAGAAATCTGCCACTAATTGGACGTGGGAACTGACTTTTGGTTAGCGTTTTAAATACAACCCAAGTCAAACATTGCATCCTCCATACCGCTGTGCCTGGGACACTTGGTCACAGTGAAACAAATGTTCCAAACAGGACAATCTTTGGATTTTGACCAAATATCCTGCTCTATTGTAGACTGCAGTGTGGCTGATGAACTACTGCGCACACACAAGCTGCCAACGCATTTTACACCATGGTATTGGTAAAAGGGGTCATTTCACATGATCGTTCTTCTCCTTTTTTTCCTCCATAAATCTGTAAAAACAATGTTCTGAGGGCTTGCTGCTTAATCTGGACTCCAGATGCAATACTCAAACTGACACACATGCTGGTATATTGAAAACACAGTGGTGGCATAAATTTGACAGTTTCTTGCTACTTAATATAGACTGCATTTCCTCTGCAACTCAGCTGCTTGTGCTACCTCCGGCAAGTTCCCAACATTGAACTAGTTAAGGACCTTTGTACCAAAATCACCAAAAGTGCTTTTGATTTCTCATCTAGTGGTTTGATTAAAATAGCACTGCGAAGCTGCTGGTGGGATGCTTCTAAATTACTGACTAAATTCACACTTCAGGCATTTTACTCCTCCTAAATCCTTAAGAAATGTTAATGATTGAAGAATGTGAAGTTCTGTATCACAGGCCCCTAGAAAGAATATCTGCTTTTGCTGCTGTGGTTGATTTATACTATCAAGCTAAAATCTTAGCCTTGCCTTGTCTGCCTGTTCCATACTGGTAACAGAAAGCAGTAGGCAGCCCTGTGTTTCAGAAGAGGGAGAGAATATTTTCCATCACTCTAGATCATTCTTCCTTTCCTTAATTCACTCTCACTGCCCCTCCTGCATTGCCAGGATCTGTAACCCCCAAAGGGACAGGCAACCAGCCCCAGCGTGGTACAGCAACTGGCAATATTCTGCCTTGAAGGGAGTAAAGCATAACACTGATCTATCCCTTTTCTTTGCCAAATGTATAAGGGAAAATGATTTCTGCTATGAGCCCCTTTAAGAAGGGAAATAAAACTGCTTGGCTAGAGCTACCTGTGTTTCCTGCCCTGGTCAAGTTTAATTTAGGATAGCTCTTCCAGTCTGTCTCGTGAATGCTCCAATTTGCCACCATTTGCATTTCCTTGACATTTAATTAGAGTCTGTTAAACATTATTTGACACTTCATTTTTCAGTTATGGCAACATCTTTAACAGTTTTGTTGAAGAAGAAAGACATTTTGACAACTCGACAGCTGCATAAGGGATCGGAAAGAAAATGTCTTGTGTTTGACCATCAGCAAACAGACTAGCGAGCACTTTATAACCATGTACAGGTGACTTAGAGGTGAGTCCATCCCATCAGTTTTTAGCAGTAGTGGTCAGTAGGTGATGTGTCCTGCCATTTTGCTCCTTGTGCTAGCTTTCCCCAGAGTGATCTACTCCATACTGCTCTGGGCAGAATCTTCCATACATCCCTCAGATGCACTTCTCCTGTTCATGCCAAGAAGCAGTATATGGAGCCAATTTGTAAAAATTCGGTGGTTTGGAATAACTGTCTCTGTTCCACGAGTTTTGGAACAGTATTTAGTAACTTTTTTTTTTTCTTCTTCTTGCTGGTGATCTGAGCACCACATAACAGACCAGCAGTACAAGCCTCTGATCTTATAAAAGGTCCAAAAAATTCTTTTAGAAACATTTATAAAAATACAGGCTGTAGAAACGAATTGGACTGTACAATGTGTACAGCTCTCAAGTTCATCCCAGAGTGGCTTCTTACCATGCTACCATTTGAAAATGAAAGGAATGCATCCATATTTCTTCTGTCCAGGAAGCTCCCGCTTCATGCATGCTCCAACATGCATCCAAGTGCAGGCTATGGGCTTCAGTTATTACATAGGAATGGGCAAGAAAAGACCCAAACTACCATCGGATAGGCTTCGCAGTTTCAGCCCCTGTGCTGAAAAGGAAAGGTGTGCTCATTGATGCATTGTGGTCGCCATTTGCTCCGAGCAAGAGTCCGTTCTTGCAGCAGCCAGGTGGGTCACTGAGAGCCTGGCTTGCCACGCTGCAAGAAGAAATTCTCTATGGTCATGCCGAGGCTTCAATGTATTCACTTTTTGGTGCTGCTACCCTCAAGTACTCTGGGTTCTCGGCCGCGGGAACTTTCAAGAGACCGTTAGGTTTGGTTTCCTTCGGTAAGAAGTCCTGCTGGTAGTCAGGATTGTCCAGATTTATTTGGTGGTTGCCCGCCTGGATCCAGTATGGAGAGCTCTCAAAGACCGTCTTGGCCAGCGGAGACTGGTTGGTGTTGAGATACTCAGGGTTGTCCACAGCTGTGCTGTGTGAATTCTGGTAGCTGGAGTCTGTGGGGACCTTTGAGTTTGCCGTGAGAGAGAAGTTGTTGTAGATTGGATTCTGGACTGCTGAGCCAGATGCTTTCTTGGGCACCAACTGGTTTACATACTCTGGAATAGAAAATAAATAAATAAATATGAGAAAGAATGAAAACAAGGACATGTAACTAATGCAGGTATTTGCATCACCCGATGTGCAGTTTCAACCCAGTTGCCACTTGCTCTTCACACACAGCATCTCATAGAATCACAGAATCATTAAGGTTGGAAAAGACCTCAAGGATCATCAAGTCCAACCATCAACCCAACACCACCTAACCCACTAACCCATGTCCCTAAGCACTCACTGAACTTCCCCAAGCAGAAGAGAGCCAAAGGCAGGGACTGCCTTGCCCTGGCACTAAATGTGCTGCCCTGAAGTTCACCTTCAGGAATTCAGTCTGCAAAAGAGCAGAAAGATGTCTTGGACCATGAGAGAGTGAGATAGCTGCTGCTGATTTTAGTGACATGTGGGTGGCTATGTCCCAGATACAGTTCTGAGATAGCAGTCAGGGAGCTTTGCTGCCAGAAGCTGTTTCCCCAGAAAAAAATTGTTTAGACACGAGGAAAATGCCTAGAAAATATAGGACTGGCAGCAACAGACTCCACGTTTCATTTAAATGCCATCCCTTACAGGGTCTTTCACCCTTTTTAGCTTTGGTGTATTCTTGGAAGGGTTGGTGGGGATTTTTTAAGGGCACAAAGCGTCGTGACTACATAACCCAGCACCAGCTCCCTTGGGGCTGGCTGGCTCGCTCTCTGACCGCCTACACTGTAAGTCCATCTGCAATTGTGAGCTGCCTTCTATGCATCAACATCTGAAAGCAGTGAGACTGCCAGAAAGCTGTGTGTATTGCTGAAATCGTTTAAGCAGCGAAACATGGTTTTTAGAGGATATTTTCCCAAGTAGAAAGCTTTAAACATATCACCACACACGCAAACTCCCCAGCCAGATGGCACACATGGCAAACATGAGGAACCTGGCTGGTGAAGGAACTGAAATGAGAAACAGCCAGAAGCAGCCAGATAAAGTGTAGGAAAAGGATACGTGCTCATGTTTCCACTCCCATTTACCGAGCAAAAAAAAAAAAAAAGGTAGGAAGCATTTGGATTGCTTCCTTTCTACAGAAAAGGAAGGACAACAATTATATTCCCACCCAAATGGCTTGTGAATGGCTGGCTGTGGGATGGAGATGTGGGAGAAGTATTCACCTGGGGCTGGCAGGAAGCTGTCATCTATGCTGTCCTCCAAGAAAGCGCCCGTTGGGTCTGAGCTGTATCTCTGAACAAAGCTGTCTTCCCTCACAGGGTGCCCCTGCTAGGTTTGAAGTAGAGAAAATCAATATTAAAGGGACTGTTTTGTAGAAGTTGATCCACATAGGAGAGGTTGCTCCTTTTTTAAAGGTCATCCCACTTACCCCGTTTCTGTCAATGCAGGTTGTAGCAGAATTGTTGCTAGTAGCACTCTTTAAAAAGAGAGAGGGAGAAAACACAGACATTATGAGAAGCAGTTCACTCAAACTTGCTTGTCCTGTTTCTACAGGGGAAAAGTTTCATACCAATGAGCTCAGGAGAGGAGTGCGGGATGTTGAGGGGCTGTTGAAGAAGCCCTGGTGTGGCACAAGATACTCATCTGCGTCCACTATATCTTCCATGTCCTCCTCTTCCATCAGGGTGCGGTAAAACTTGGAGTCTGTAGGGCTTGGCAGGTGCATCCTATCGTCTCCCTGTACGACAAGTCAGTGTGAGAGAGGATTCACAGACCCCCCTTCAAGCCCTCGTTATCCCCACCCCTGACAAACTAATTTAGCAAGAGGTCCAAGATGTTTAGCCAAATTTACCTAGAGTTTAGGGGAATTTGGACCTGCAATCTCTGTCTATGCTGCTGCAAAATATCTGCATTTTGAAGAGGATCAAACTCTGTTTTCCTCTCAGGAGTGCAGTATGGACTGTTACTGGTCTGAAACTGGGACCAGTACTAAGGAAATAGTGACTGGTCTTGAAATTCTGTTTGTGGTTCTAGATGAATGTGTTAAGACCTGGAAAGCAACAGTAAATCTGGCCTTAAATTATCCATATCCTATGTTTTCATATGCATTACCAATCATTTTGCACCCCGTATGAAATGCCCATCAGACATCTTCCTGCCATTGGGTTTAGTACCTGTATGACGAGATAGCGTGGGGGGTCACGGGCCATCTTAGAGAACTCCGCTATCAGTTCACGAAATTTGGGACGGCTGTCTGCATCGATCATCCAGCCTGAAGGGGTGACAGGGAAAGCAACGCACAAATCAAGTTGTTTTGGAGATCAAACACAGAGCTTAAAATAAAACGTAACAGTGAAAAGAACATCACCATTGTGCTGTTAAGGATTTACCCCTAAGGGACCACAACAAAAAGTTCATTCACCAGGTACTGCTGTGAATTTCAGCATTTAAAATGCACCTCTTGGCAGTTTGGGGAAGAATGAAGGAGGTAGTAAAAGCCTGCAGATGTGCAGTGATCTGACCATCCAGTCCCCCCTGCACTGCTTTGTGAAAGCCTGGGAAGCCTACAGCAGAGGCTACCCTCTGTACCAGATGTCTTCTAAAATTCAAAACATCCTCGCTGGGGATGTATTGAATTAGTAAATGGACTTTAACAAAGGCCAGTCCTACAGCTTAGTGTGGATCAACGCTAAAAGAGATTTTGAATATAGATACTGGTGGTTTAACGTGAGATTACTTAGGAAACCCACACTTTCTGTTATCAACTAACAGATGAGCTGATGGAGAGACTCTTGTGTTCAAAATTAAAAATAATAAAGGTCAAGCTTGGTGTATCTGGAGGAACTCATAAGAAACAGCTTATCTATAGTAATGGAGAAATGAAGTAATATGACATCAGAAATATCCATTAGACAAAATCTCATCATTGCCAGTGATCTTTTACCACGCTAGAAGTAAGAACCCATGCTAATCCAAACAGAAATCTTTTTTGCTTTCAGACAGAGTGGAGCATCTGGGAGTTTGCTGCTGTTGCAGAAGTAGCATCTACTATTTCTGAACTGACCTCTGAGTTGCACATGTTTAAATACTGCTTCTTAAATTAAAAAAAAAAAACCTAAAAACTGTTGTGCAATAACTTTGAACATTTCAGTCGATACTCTATGCTTATAAAAGAGATGACTGGAAATCCTGAATTTCGTTAGACAAAATGGCATGGCTTCGACAGGGTCTATGCTGTAGCCTGCAAACACGGGATGATCAGAGCAGTGATAAATGTGCAACTGAGTCTTGTGGCAGAAGGAAGGCTCAAAGCCCAGATCCTCATAGTCTTAAATTCAGCATAACGGTATGAAAAGGGATGGGGATGCTCCACTGATGGTGGTGTTTTAAAAAGCAACAGGTACCTGATTAGGTGCCTGGAAAAACGCCTACTTTCTAAAGGAAGGCAAACGGATGGAGCTGCTGAGCGCTGCAATGGCTCAGCCCCTAAGGACATGCTCTGGTGCAGAGCTTTCAAAGCCCTGGGACATGACTGCTGCACGCGGAGATGGTGACAGGGCTGAGGTGTCGGCAGGGTTCAGCATCACCGACGAGAAGTTTCCAGGACACTGCGTTTGGGTCTGGGCACCTCCCAGGCTAAGTGCACGCAGCTGGATCCCGTTCCAGCTCGCTCTGGTGAGAACAGGATCGGGCTCTCCCTGGGCAGTGCCTTGTCCTGACAAAACAATGCTGGGGCACTCCAGGACTCCCCAAAAGTGCTGCACTACAGGGTGTTCGCGGCAGCGTGGCTCCTGTTTCAGGAACAGCTCCATTTTGCACCAGTGAGAAGGTCTTAAATGCCACCTAGTGGGCTTCTCATCAGCATCCTCACAGATGCTACTGGCAGCAAGCAGGGATGTGGCACTCATGATCTAGACATGCACGGGAAGCAAGGCAATAATCAGACATTTTAGCAGCTGATATAGATGGCAAAGGGCTCTGGGGTTCATTTAGCCCTAACAATGACCAAAAAAGTGCTTCAGAGCCCCCCCAGCTCCTGTGCTACTTTACAGCAACAGCTGTATGCCAGAAAGGAGCCACCCAAAACAAAAATTAGGAGGAAATCGGATGAGCAACTCTGGATGCTCACGTGCATCTGCCATTATGGTGGTGCCTGTGCTCCCAGCGCTCCTTTAGTAAAAGGAGGACATAACCCATGTGCACGACTGTGGGGGGAGGCATATTACTGAACTAAGGGGGAGCCTGAGGGAGAAGGCAGTGTTAATTTTATTTTCTAGACATATAAAACTAGAATATCAAGTAAAGTGACTGGTGTTATGCTCGTTTATACTGCCTGACAATATCACTTTAAAATAATTGACAATATCAGCCGGTAGTGTGAAGGGTGAAAAAAATATTAGTTGACTAATTAGTGACTAATGAATTAGTGACTAATGAAACCATACCCCATGCTCCTAGCTACAGCTCAGGGTGCAGGAACACACGCTGGTGTCACCACTCTTTTCACATAACCCTATTTCTGTGCAATCGCCAAGAACACAGCAGATACAAATGCGACATAACGAAGGCAATTGTGCTACTTATTCAACTTGGGTGAGCACCCAACAAATGTGAACTCACATTTGACCATGATCATGTACACATCGATGGTACAGATGGGGGGCTGGGGCAAACGCTCGCCCTTCTCCAAGACAGAGGAAATTTCACTGGCGGGGATCCCATCATACGGCTTGGACCCAAATGTCATTAGCTCCCAAACTGTCACACCTGCAGGGTGGGAAGAAAAGACCATGAGAGAAGCTTTACTGGGGGCCCAGGCGCTTGCCCTGGGCACAGAGAAGCGATGAGCAGAGAGGGCTTTCCTGGAGGTACTGCGTTGCCACAGCCCCACCCAGGAAAAACATTTTCTGCCATGATTTTAAAGAGAGACAAATTAATAAAACAGGTTGAAATCATCCGGCTTTCCTTCAGCTAGTATCTCAGTGTCGAACATCCCACAAACTTCCCAGCCCCAGAGAAAGGAGATGCAGGTCACTGCCTCCTGACTCCAACTCAGCAAGTGGTTTTAAAAATTGAAGTTGTAATTTGTTTGAAAACAATCTCTCTGGAGACAAGCAAGAGCAGTTTTTGAAATATGTGTAAACCAGTTGCCTCAGTGCCGGTTGCTGACGTACCACATACTCTTGTGATGTAGCTGTTGTGATTGTCTGGTAGCTTAGGATACAAAACAAGATTTTGGATGCCAAGATACATAAATGGATTAAGAGCACCAAAGGCTGTACTTTTTCGAAAAGGACACAGGATCTGACCATCTGCATTAAATATTTTCCAGGACTATAAGAGCCCATGGAGTGGAAATTGTGCAATAAGTTGCTTTGAAAAGTATCCTTTCTGCTCCTCTTTCTTTCAAGCTGGCTTATGAACTGTGCCAAATAGAAAACGAATTCTCTAAGGATGTTATCACTTTGCTTTCCCTTTAGTGTTGTCCTCTCAACACCAGGACAGCACAAACATTTTAGGCCACAGCAGTTACACTGATTGACACTAACTGCCAGCGTGCCCAAAGGTTTTAAGTCCTCCCTCTGTGTTACATGGAATTATTGTCAGCCCAGTTGTATTTCATGTGAAGTTGCTGAAAAAAAGCATCAGCAGAACTTCAGCAAATGGAGCAGAACCTACCTGCACACCCCCTGTCAGGGGAGGGCTCATCATCTGAAAGCATATTCTGCAAAAACTTCTTACCCCTCACTAGCATGCGATTTCATGGGAATTTTACTTTATTGAATAGGTGATTTGGGCCCATTGTTGATGTTTAATCTCTTAATGTTCTCATAACAGGAACCAAAAAGCTTTGTGTAGAGCCACTAGCCCATCCTGCAACTTTCCAACCCATTTGCAATAACTATAACTGGGGTTTAGACTCACCGTAACTCCAGACATCACTTTGATGAGTGTAAATACGATGTAAAATTGACTCCAAGGCCATCCATTTAATAGGAACCTAGGAAAATTCACAAAGAAGCCTTAAGAGGCTGACTCAAAATTTATCAGCAATATTTACCACCAGGTGGTGTTTTTAAACCAATAGTTTGGTTGCAGAAGGGAAAAAACCCCAACCAGCAAACACCACAACCATCTGAGTGGTAAAGCAGGCAACTTTAAAGTCCCTTATTATTATTTTCATTTATTATGTTGAACCTGGGAACTCATGAAATATTAGGCATATTAGAAATACCTCTTACAAATTAATTTTACAATATTTTTAACTGTCAAATTACTATCTTTTTTTGAACCTTCTCCTATCATCACAGGCCACAAATCCAATCTCAGGCTGTATGACAAAGACTGATCTGCGCTCATATGGTTTCTGTTTATGGTCTCCACAAGATTTGCAAGCAGCTTCTCTTTAATTTCTCAGCAGGACACATTCCCTCCATCAGCACGTAGTACAACGCGAAGGCGTGTTGAACCAAGTCTGACAGGTCTTTCTTCTGCTATAAATACACAGCATTCCCTTTCTCTTCATAAACTGCGCAGTGTTATTGGTGTTGGCTACACTGATTAATTCAGCCGTGATTTTTTTTTTTAATGTTTTTTTAATAATCTTTTAATGCTTTTTCCCAGACATTCTGGGTGGGAATTTCAAAAGCATTCATCGCTCTGCTACCTCCGCTCCCACTGCAGTCCCACTGGCCTGACGCTGCTTCGGCTGATTTCAGAGGACTCCCACAGGCTTCAAAGGCAGCACACTGAGACGGCAGCTGAGCGCTTTGAAAAACCCATTCTCTCTTTTTTTTTTTTTTTTTCCCCCTGTGTTAAGGTTCGTGCGCACGCACAAACATCGACGAATGCGCAGCGGTTCATTCTGCAATGCACTTTACCTTGCCGCCCTCGGCGTGATACTCCTTCTCGTCGGCTCCCAGCAGCTTTGCCAGCCCAAAGTCCGTGATTTTCACGTGTTGAGGAGTCTTAACAAGGACGTTCCTGGCAGCAAGGTCACGGTGCACCAGGCGACGCTCCTCCAAATAGTTCATTCCCTGCAATATGACAGACCATGGGTAGGCATCACGCTCTTTGGGCTTGGACGCGCTAACGGGTTACCAAACGTCAGCTGCACATGGTAACCTATCTCCCCTTCAGACGAAGGTTGTCTGTTTCGATTTATGTGATGCTTATTGCGAGGTGAGGATGTGCGCTTGCACAGTAACAAGGAGACGTAACCATTAACCTCCAGGAGCCTTTTGGTGGGTCCATGTGCCAGGGGAGTCATGGAGAAAAAAGGGACAGTAGTAGGTATAGTAAGGGATGCGAGTCCTTTGGGATCTATTTCAAGAAATATAAAAGTGGGACAGGACTTACAAGTAAGGGGGGGGCAAACCCTTCTTTCAGCCACATTTGTGCAACCCCAGTGACCTCAGGAGAGCATAGTGCAGAATTTAATAATCACCTTCCACACACGCACAGGCCAACCTTACAGAGAGTAGGTAGACAGTAATGCCCTGGGAGAAGAATCCAAGCAAAAATAAATGAATTGTTCAAAGTTGCTGACTCTGCGTCTCATTACAGAGTACTCTGCCTTCTCCCTGATAACAATGAGGCATTCCACCACAAGGGTGAGAAAACGAAATAAAAATTTAAAAAATCATTTTATGGCTAAGCTCAATTCCTCTTTGAAAAGGCAAGTTCTTCCAGTTTCTCTGTCTCCCATGATTAGACTGGATTCGCCATAGCTTACGTGCTTTTTTGGTACAACTGCCTCTCTAGGAAGAATATGACTGATTGTGCCAGTTTGACTTTTAAGGTATGAACCTAACAGCTGCATTTCTGACCACAGAGATTATTCCCCTTTCCCTCAATTCCAATCGCTTGGTGTATGGAATCAAAAAGTTCACATTTTCCAAGTTTCCTGCAAGATCCTTTCTAAAAACCACAATTACTCCCAGTCGATAGGTTTCTGCTGGCAGCAGCTTACGTGCTTGTATTTTTATGAAGAGAGAATTAACAAAAAAAGTACTTCTACAAAGCTAACACCCAAATGATCATATTGATGTGATGACTGCGCACTGGAGGGAATAATCCCCCTCCAGCCTCCACCCCCTTCCTAAACCCACGGCTAATCTGGACCACCAGTGACTCCTCCAGACAAGTCCCCCAGCAGAACTTCACCCATGCACTGCTGATGCTGCCAAAACAAACCACCCAAACAAACTGGCGCAATGCCACCGCAAGCGTGCATTTAATTACGCAAATCTCTGGCGAGCAGAGCTCTTGAAACAAAAAAAAATCTTGAGCTTCTGACAGAAAACAGAGTACCTTAAAAAAAAAAAAATAATCCCATAATCTAGCTCCAGTAGGAGAAAAAATTTCCTGCTCAACATGTCTTGCTGCAGAGGCTTATTAAGACGCAAAGCTGCTGAAAGGCAGAATATCCGTTTCACACTCAGCTGTTGAAGACGCTGATGGCTAAAAAGACTTGTGCATGTGCATAACCGTACACCAAAGATGTTGAACTGCTCATCTAGAGAGTTCAGCAGATCTTTAATTGTATGCAGGCCTGAGGTTTAAGCCATTTTTCATCATTAAATGTGAGACCAGTATGTTCAAAGAGTTACTTCACAGTCTTTCTGCACATGGAGTGTCTATGCTTTGTCCTAACATCTTGTCGGAAAGACGGGACTCAGTATCTCAGTGAAAGAGAATGTTTGTAAAAGATGCAAAGAAAACTTATTTCAAAGCTGTGAAAACAGAAACAAAAAGAAGCTTCCCAGGGAACTTGCCTCCTGCTGGTTAGTTACCAGGCACAAATGTATTTGTTTCAATTTTTGTCCTCCTCTAAAAGTACATTTTTAGAGAGTCCGAGAATGTCCAAAAATCTGGCACGACTTTATGATAGAGTAGTAACACCAGACACATTGGTGGGAAAAAGCCGTGTGCGTGATTTACGAGCCCTTTGAGAAGAACTTCAGTGCAGAGAAGCACAAAGGAGTATGGTGAAGGTCAGGCATCACTGGAGAGGGTAGAGGTTGCTATGGGCGAGTGTTGAACCGACACGAAAAAAAAAATCAAACAGAAGCTAACAATTGTGAATGGCAAGCTTTCGGGCAAGCAATGCCCCCAGGATCAATTTGGGGACACATTTTGCCACCTTAAAAATTAACAAGGAGGAGAAGGAGGAAGAAAATGTGGTCTCCAGCTCATCGTCCAAAGGGACTGAAACCAGAACAGAGTGGTAATTGATTTTACACAGGAGAGCAAAAGAGTCAGAAAAAAGGCAGTTCACACCCCAGGTGGGTGCATAAATTAAAATTCACTTGCTGTGGAGCGCGCTGTAAAAAAGCACACACACAGAGATGAAAAATGTGCTCTGTATACTTTTGGCAGATACATTCCTGAGGTCCTCAGCATGTTTCCTGAAAGCAAACCACGGCTGGGTGAGCCTGGGATGTACCCAAGGTCTTGAGGGACCGATAAGGCTGTAAGTGTGCGGTTAGGTTGCAGACCAGCATTCCCGAAATAAGCAGCGTTAAAGCAGCTGGACTTTGCGGATCCTGCCATCTCGTATGACAAATCTCCAACAAACTGCAGCTATTTTTTTTTTTGCTAGGTTTGCTCCATTGCCTCCATGCTTGCAAATGGCTAACCACCTTCCAAACACAGCATATGGCTGTGAAGGGCTAGGAGGCTCTACTTCAGTTTCCATTGCTGCTCTTCTCTTTGGCATACAGTGCCAGGGGTGACAATGAGTCTGCTATTTGATGCTACGGTGATTGCCATCAGGTTACAAACACCGATTGAGTGCATATAAATTACAGAACAGCCTTGGGTGCCTGAATGTCTTTTGGTCACAGCCAGCCTGTGCTAGAACATTATTTACTACTCTGCAGTTTAGATCACCAGTCCTCAGAGATTTCAGCCTGAAAAATCGGCGTCGTTCCCCACACAAGGACAACACCACTGTTTGCCCCCAAAGAAATCCACTGACGGAAGCTGCACTTTAGTATGGGAATTGCCAAATTCTGCTCCCTTGCCTGCCACAGCTTCATTGTGTCACGTCAATGTTTCATTGCAGGGTGTTTGGTTTGGACAGAAATGCCTTGGTGACAACATCACATGGTCTAGGAGCATTTTGAAGAGTAGTGAAGGTTTGCACACCAGCTTGAAAATGGTATATTCCCTAAGATGAAGTAACCACTCACTGTCACCTCTAAGGTATCTAGAAACCATGTGGTGAAATATAAAGACTTATAGAGACAAGTAAGTAAATAAATTAATTGTAGTACTTATATAAATATAAAAGAATTATATAAATAAAAAGACCTATAGAGACAAGTAAGTAAATAAATACATTATGCACTGTCAGATCTCCACGTTACAGTCTGTTTTAGCTGATCTGGAGGTGTGCCGGTCCACTTACCTTTGCGATCTGCACACACCAGTTGAGAAGGTACTGGGAGCCGATGTTGTCCTTGTGCTCTCGGATGTAATCGAGGAGGCAGCCATAAGGCATCAGTTGTGTGATGAGCTGAACAGTAGAAGTGAGGCAGATTCCCAACAAGCGGCACACATGAGGATTGTCAACACTAGCCATCACGTAAGCTTCCTGAGAAGAAAGGGGGAAAAAAGCAACTTGAAACACTTGGCATGACAGAAATGTTTGGAGGCAGTTTAAAATGTCTGTCATTCAAGAGGTTGCTAAAATACTATATGCAAACTCTGTGCCTCATATCACATACAAAATACTCATATTTCCCACTCTATGGACCAGTTTTTTTCCACTCAGTGGAAGGTCCAGATTCTGAACACTGAAGCATCACTGAGATTCCACAGAAGAGCCAGTCTCCCACTGCTGGTACACCAAGCAAACACTGGATATAAAACCCTAGGGAAAAAACTTATGGACCTAGGAGGAATTAATAAATTGAACATCAGCTGGAAGCTGATGGGATTTCATAATTTTGAACACCTAATTGCAAGGACAACACATCTTGTGAACTTCTGTCATATGGCTTTTTTCCTTCACAAAGCTTTTCACAAAACTAACTGGAAATCAGTATTTTTGAGACTTCTGCCCCTGTGTCAAAGTTAATACTAACCAGAAAGTCAAAAGTTGGGATCTAAGATGGGACTGACAATTTGACTTTTTTTAAGAGACAAGGCTTCTTTCGTTATATCATTCTTCAGTCCATGTCAAAACAAACAGGTTAACAGATAGCCTCTTCAGAAGCCTGAATACATCTTACTTTAAGCAACACTGGTAAAAATATTGTCCCCAGTTGGAAAAGCTCTTTTAGACCCATATAGCAATATAAATGATACCAGGAAGGTACTTACAATGTGCAACCCCAAGCATAACAAACCCTTTGATCAACTGGAATTTTGTGTTTGAGTTTCATAAATATGTGAAAAACTCTTCAAGCCTGGCTTCACCCTATGTAGTTTTAGGTACCTACCCAAGGTACCCAAGATACCTCCTCTTCCTTTACTCCTTCTGCAAGAGAAGAGAGGCCCCTTCAGGGGCTGCTGCAGTATGCTACAGACACAGCTCCAAACCCCCCAACTTCATGGTTTTCGCATGCAAAAAACAACTTACAGATTTAAATTTGAGATCTGTATTTATACTGACATTCACTGTCAAGTGCCAGCTCAAGTAATGGATTCCAATTGGGGAAAAAAATTAGAGGTGAAGTTAATTGGGTTTTTTTTAGCTAACTTTGTGTCTGATGTACAATATGTCACTTTTAGACATTTTTAAAGACATTTTTTGAAAACCAACACAATGGGAAATAAATGGGAACTTTTCCACGCAGTGAGCTTTTAGGTCAGCATCTTAACTCAGCGTGTAGAGTGACACCAACTAATCATCCCCTGGCAATTCAGCATTAGGCTAGCAGCCCTCCAAATGCTAAAATCATAGTCAAGACACTATTGTGGCAGGGAAAAGAGCAAATCTGCAATTTCTAAGAGCTTAAGAAAAGAAATACCATAGCGATTCACTCATCATCTAACAAGCTTTCCACAGATGTCACATAGCTGTGTAGCTGGTAAGAACTATTATTAAACAAAGTTATTAGAGCGATGACGTTCAAGAAATAAGCAACCCCAATTCTTAAGCAATACTTTCTGGCCTCGGTAATGCTGTTTGACGTGCCAGCCTAAGCAAAACCTGATGGAATGCTGCTTCTTCTGAGGTGCTAATTCTGCATTTGGTATCCTTGTTTTGGAGCCCCCGGGATGCAAGTGGCCCCCAGGCAGCCAGGTTGGAGAAGATCTCTGGCAGAACTGGATACGTGCTCAGCCTACTGCAAGATGTGAGCAGGACTTTGAAAAAGAGCCCTCTGTCAGGGCTAGCACTGATGCTGTGGGCTAGCCTTGGAAAGATAAAGCAAGAATACAATGTGCTATTTGATTACATGGACGTTTGTGGCAGTGTTTTTTAGAGAACCTTGTGAATCCACTATACGATGCTCAGATGTAGCAGGGACTGAAACACGCTCGTCTCCTTAGGCTCCCAAAACTGAGCCATCATACCAATGAAGGGCATCTGCTCCTTGCCTTGCTTCCAGGGGATTCCGGTCCATGCTGTATTCACTTCAGCGGGCAGAGGCGAAGCTGCAGAGTTGGAGCTGTTCTCACTGCCCATCTGCCGTGCAGCCCCCGCAGGGCTGACCTGGGGGCCCGAGAACTGGGATGTTGAAAGAGCAGGGTGGGCGTACAGGCCACACAGCTTTCAGAGAGCATCCAAGCTTTGACACAGCCTATTACATTTGATACAGCGAAGTCAGAGAGGCCACCACCTCCTCGCAAAGAGCAGAAGGGAGCTATTGTGCGGTTGTGGGTCCCTCTAAGTAGCCCAGGACATTAAAGTGGGCCTTTGTTTCAACTGTTTATCTTGGAAATCTCTGCGGTACTCTCTGACCTGCTCCAAGTATGCGTGGTATTCAACAACAATCTTCTGAATTAGCCCTGCCCTAATAAAGGCAGAGAGAGCTCGCCTGGATTACACAAGCTAAAGCTGCTGCGCTCGTTCTATACCTAGCATGTTTCTGTAAGACAAATCACCTTTAATTGGACATTGAGACCTCTGATGTTTCAGTGACCTTGAAAAGTTGGTTGTGCAGCAAAAATCTGTTTGGAGAGGAGCTTTTGGAGTCATCCCTCTGACTTCTTTCACTGGTTTTGTTTTTTTTTAAAATTTTATTCTGAAACATAGAATGAATTCCACCAACCGAATAATCTAAAAATGTAACAGAACTGAAAAAAGGAAGAGCTTTTTGTTAAGCATCCAAATTCAAAGGAAAAGAAAATATAATGTGGGGATATGCTACAGACACTTATTTGAAAAGAGAAAGTTACTTCGACATCACTGAAGAGCACACAGTGCCGGCATCTACTGCCCATTGTGTGACTGTGTTGTGGGGAGGGCAGGATGCAGCAGTGCAGGCTCATTCATTAACCCTTCCAGGAACTGAATGCACTTAAGTCCAAAGCATCCTTTGTGAAGACATCCCATGTCTCTTTTGGGAAGCAAGATAACTTCTTGCTGTTCATGACAGAGAAACAAGACAGCTGGGATGTTTTTTTCTTTTGGATTTATAGATAATTCAATCCTATGTAACCGAGCAACTAGCTTATGACAATCTGCAATGTCAGGATTCAAAAATCATTAGATACAATGTTATTGGTTTTAGTTCTACTGCCATAATGGCAATGAATGCCACAGTTTAAAGCCTGAAACATCAGAATAAAGAAAACAGAATTAGCTGTAAACGTATGGTCCTGACCTCTCCTTAGGTGCTACACTATAACATCAGTATTTGGACCGAGAGCAAAGGGTTCCCAAAAAGGCACAAAAGCACTTCACAGACAGGGCTGCAAAGCCCAGTACTTCGATATGGAGAATGTAGTTTGGGGTGCACAGTATTTTTCCCACTCAAAATCCTGAAATCCCTTTAGTTGTGCCAGAGGAAAATCCACAGACCACTGACAACTTGACAAAACAAACATGGAAACTTACATCAAGTATTTCCTTGTTGGCTTTTGGCGATGTAGCTTCTCTCAGTTCTTTAATAGCAACAGGAATTTTAACCTTCTCCCCTTCTGGGATCCAAAGTCCCTACCAAAAAGAAGTACAAAGAGTTACTCAGTCTCATATCTAACAGGTTAATTCTCGCAGTTATATATACGTCTTACATCTTCTGAGTAGACCTAAATATTCTGAGCAATGGGAAGCCATGGCAGACAACAAAAATATGCAAAAACTGTGTCTTGTGGGTGTTGACAAGATGCTGGTAATGCATGGAGTGGTACTTCTCTTTCAGTCCCCTCTACCACATTTTTTTGAAAAGACATGTTCATAACCGCTGCTGTATAAATAGCCCAAGAGACGCATAAAGAGCAGCTTATGTGGATGGAAATCTAATTAATTCGCTCATCACAGAACTGCATGTGCAAAACCTTGCCACTTCCAATTGATAAATCATGGGATGAAAAGAACTGGGATTTTCTCAACAAAGTGAGACGGCATCTATCCTCTAAAAGAATCCGATCCTAAATATATTCAGTGGCAGGTAGGTTTATGTCTGACTAGTTCAGTGCTCTACACGTATAGTGTCAGGAGGCCATGTAGGTGGCATGTGAACAGTATGGCACAACGAGGACACCCTGCTGAAGTACCCAGCAGTGTAGATGCACATTTTCAGAGGTCAATAGGATTTGTGGCTCTGATGATCCAAGCCGTAGCTGGAAGCCTGCTTCAGAATATAGAGCTTTATGGAGAGATATATGAATCTACAGTTTATATTTCAGTGTTACTGGCAAAGCCTGAAACACATATTCTGAATAAAAGGATGAGCACAGAAAGGTGGAACCTGGTGAAGAAGAAACAGAGGATAAACAAACACCAAGAGAAAAAAATACCCTGTGGTACCACAACTGAAGGTGTGTAGACACTTCCACAGATCTGAGTCACTTCTAATGATTGAAAAAGTGTGATTGACTGTAAAAAAAACAAACCAACCCAAACCCAGAGGACACTGAGCTGACCAAAATTGGATTTCTTTTTTTTCCTAATATTCACAACAGGGTCTATTTGGCTGCAGTAGTTTTTAAGTGGAGATCTTTGTCCCTCAGCTTCAGCAGTATGGCTTTGGCAACATCTTATGTAAAACTTCCCATGTTACCTGATTCATAAGTCAACTGATGATGATGGAGTCATCTCTCTACCATACAATATACACATTCTATAAAATCTAGTTTAAAAAAAAAGTAAAAATCCACACAATGATCGCAGTGCCCAGTTCTTGCTTTGGTTGTGTGGCTTCTGCACGAGAGACCAAGATGAAGAGAAACATGCTGATCTTACCTTATAAACAGTACCAAAAGCACCGGAGCCTAAAACTTTGACCTTTTTAAATTCTGTTTCCTTTAAAATTCTCAGATGAGCCTGGTTTGGTGCCTCCCCGCTGGGTGTCAGTGGTTCAACAAGCTGAAGCAGAAAGAAGAAGATGTTAGAAAGATATATAGTCTAGGAGGACAGCAAGCAGCACAGTTTGTGGAAACAAATAAATCCTTCCTTTAAAATAATGAACATTTTATTCCACATGGAGTTTACAGGAGGACAGGTCCACTCTGACTTACAGTAATAAATATCTAGAGTTGCTCCAAATTTCAGAGGTAAAATAAATCACAGAGTGGTGACCGCTGTTTTGAAGGAGAACGAAGAAATAGTACTGTTCAAATGAAGGCTTTGCTTCAAAGCCTTAAAACACACGGCACGAAGAACAATGTAATTACTACAGATCTTAAAGAAGATTTTTTTTTTTTGAACTTGCAAATAAATTATAAAAATATTTTAAATAATGGCCAAGAATCATCTGCAACCTTTCAGGTCTGTTCTTGTTTTACTGGATGAAATTCCCATGGTACCATGTAAACCGCAGAGTTTACAAGCAGCAATTGAAACTCTGAGAGTGATTCTTTTCTCAATAAAAAGGGCGATGTTGAATTGACTACTGATGTTTTCAAAATTTGATCTAAGCCTTATTGAAAACAGCACTAATGCCCTCCAAACAGAGAAATGGAACACTTTTTTGATGCGTAAGTCAGCTTTTTTGCTTAGTGATTTTTCTTTTTCCTTTCCTTTGAATAAAACCGTATTTAGTTAGATACAATCTGATTTTAGTGAGCCCACAACCTTTCTGTTGTGATGAAATATCCTCGCTTTGAGGAGTCCAGAGGGTACAATATGAGCTGAGCACAAACTGAACTCTACTATCACAACTGTAGAGTATGTAAAATATTGTTAGGTAGTGCATTAAAAAGCAGGACAGCTTTTTTTTTTTTAGGGATTTTAGCAGCTCACTCTGCAATGCCAGCAAGCACAGAAAGAAGCTGCAACTGGGCTTTTAGCAGAATACTAAACACAATTAGCTAATTATTTACTAGGATTGGACTAGAAAGAGAAGGGAGCTCATCATAAAAGAGTGGCTTCAATTCAGGATAAAGAATTTTTTTTATTTTATATGTGAGGAACCCAGAGGGTGATGCTTAGCGCACACAAAACTATGGAGAAAACAAAAAGCAGCGTAGAAACCTTGTTCATGGCCTAACAGGGTGAACCATTCACTTTGATGGCTTAGTGGACTTTTTGTGCTAAAAACAAACCAAAGACAAGGCACAAACACTTCCTCAATTCATTCCCTCCCCTCTTTTCATTTTTTTTTTCCCCTCAGGATCTGGCATATGCCTGATCAAGGAGGTCAAAATTTCCAAAGTGCCCCCCAGTTGCCACAGCAGCCTCAAGGCTTGTCCGGAGGGAGAAATGGTTTGAGGCTGTGGGTCTACGTGGCAAAGTGGTATGGATCAGCAAACACATGGCACCTCACCCTGAAAGCATATTTTTTTTCCTGAGTAGACAATCTCAATGATTTTCACTGGGATTTAGACATCTAAATCCCCTAAAGCTTTTGAAAATTATATCCAGAGGGATCAGACTTAAGATTAAGCAAGAAGGTGTTAGGTGCCCGCCGCCTCTTTTCCAACTAGAGCAACAGACACTGCAACAGCCAACCCAAGGGCTCGTTAAGTTACAAAACACGGTGCTTTAATTCTCTGTTAGGAGGAGGCTGGCACACGTTGCCCCCATAAAAGCAGCATTGCAGCTGTGCCGGCAGCGCTCACCTCCCTCTCCTGCAGCAGCCGGCGCAGGGTCCGCTTCCTGACGATGTGGCGTCTCCGCAGGTAAAGGCCGATGCCCAAGCCCACCACCACCAGGCACAGGAGACCTCCGACGACGCCAGCTGCGATAGATGGGATTTTGGAGCTGCAAGACAGGAGATAATGTAGAAAGAGAAAAAAATGCTTAAGTGTAAGACTGAAAAAAACCAACCCTAAACCCTACAGGCATTGCATGAAGCTGTAGGTTTTGATCAAACACATGCTCTGGACATCCACTTACGCCTATTTGACATTTCAGGTATCTTGGGCATCTGTATTTTTAAGTTCCTCGTCCAGTGGTTGTATTTATTGGTTTAATTGTTTAAGAAAAAGTGAAGGATCAAAAGAACTGAGCTGATATGAGACCACTCTGACTTTTACTATGCTTGGAAGTCAGCGTTTCTGCTCCACTGTTGGCCATCTCCTCCCATGGAGCACATCAGCATCAAATCTGTGATGCCTCTGTATGCCACCCACAGGCAGCATGAATCAGCTACACGAAGCACGTGGAGACGAGGTGATATCAAGAAAACATATGCAGTTGTGACAGCAACAATGAAGCTGACATCTCACCATTATGTGGGAGGGGGGGCATGCTATAAGGATCATGATGTACTTCAAATAATTAGCCCTATTTCCCAAGTACAAAATGTCTGAGGCCAGGTAACGTGTGAACCATCAACATTGCATGTACAGATTGCTGCCTGTTTATTAGAGCCTGGGTCATTTCAAATTGAAGTTGAAAAGAAAATACCATTTTCCAAGGTTGTTATCTGGTCTGTATTTACAGACCCATCATAGCTCTTTCTAAGTTGCCCCAGGGTTTACTATTAAATAGAACCCCTTTTAACAGTACTTCTAGGCTGCATTTGTCTTGCCATAGCATGACTTTGTGGCCAGAAACTAAATCCCTCTCCATCGGTCAGAGAAGCCTGTTCGCTTGTTGCATGACCTTGAGCAATGCAATGTAAGACCTAGTGTGAAGAATGAACATCCATCCGTGCACAGAGCAGTTGGAGATACACAGATCACAGGGCTGGAACTCCCTGTGTCTCTGAGATGAATCCCCAGCAATGCAGTTCAACCATATGAATCCTAAACATCTTTCTCTCTGCCACTAGCCCTCAGTCCTTCCTGTTTCCAGCTCCTCCTTTTGTTCTCCACTACCAGATCCCAGGCCTCACCTTGACAAATTAGCAAAGCAGAATGAGGTTCCTGAGTCTTGTGCCAGTAGGAATATTTCTCAGCTCTTTAAACCATTTTTATAGATCAGAGCCTGCTCTAATCTGTCACTTCCCTGTACAGAGCTGAAGACTTAACTTCAGTCCCAGCCTTGCAGTGTCCAGCATGGAAACGTAAACACGTATGCATGCTTTCCAGACCTGTCATTAATTGTAGCAGATGAAATACTCACCCGTTTGGACAGCCTTCAAGACCTGGCCCTTTGCACCTGTAAAAACAAATGAACATTACCAACATATTAGCTCTGGCATACATACTCCTATAATTCCAACTAAGAAGAGTGCTACTGATTGAAAAGCTTGTGTTCCAGAGCAGCCCAAGTATTAACCTAGGAATTTATAATAGTCATACACTCTACTAAATATCAGTCAACGGCCTTCCTCCAAAATATTTTATCTAGAGGCATAGTTATGCTGTATAAAGGCTATTTTCAGTCATACACTCTACTAAATATCAGTCAATGGCCTTCCTCCAAAATATTTTATCTAGCGGCATAGTTATGCTGTATAAAGGCTATTTTAAAAAAACTTTAATCATGTGGTAGAATGGGGGGGGAGGAGATAGGTACACAAAATTCAAATGGACCTGGGTTCCCTGGCTCTGCGTGGACAGCTGCGTTAGTGCAGAAGCTCAGGGCTGGCTGTGGAGGCCAGCAGCAGCCTTTCCCCTGCACAAGGGCAAAAAGCTGCATGGAAACGTGTCACTGCAGACCCTCCTGCATCATCCTTGTTTCCCGATAAGTAAAAGATTACAATTTCCAGACTTTCTATTGCAATGGAGAACTTGGGTAGCAGATACATGCTTCCATCAGAAAACAGGATTTGACCACAGTCCCTTTGGTTATGATCCATTGGTATGTGCCTGTGATATTTTTCTTTCAGAATCTAAGGTCTTATATTACTGGTAATGTAAACAGGTACAACAGTTACCTAGACAGCCAGAAACTCTCCAAGCAAGCCATTCACCCTCCATTTGAGTTTTAAATGCCTGAAATTCATTTTGGCAGCCCAATGCAAAAAACAACACTAATGAAAACACAGTGATTGCATTCACTTGATGGTCTAATGGGTGGGAGAGGAACTGCGAATTCCCTAAGTGCTGCTGGGCTACAAGATGTAGGCTCTTCATGGGAATTGTGGTCTTTGTGGTGTTGACTGAGGAAGGAGAGCATTATAGAGAGGGTTACATCACCTCTGAAAAAAAAAAAAGCACAGCAAGGAGAAAAGTCCAGTTTGTGGTATTCGGTCCCTGTGCTGACTTAAAAGAAAACGGATCATCCCAAAACAACTCCAGAGGAGGTCAAGTAGGGGGTAAGGAGTGAGGCAGTGCCAGGAAAACTGTTCTGAATTCCCTCTTGTCGAGAGGAGGAACCAGAAAAATCTCAAAATGGCAGGTGGAGTTGCAGATCTTGTCTCATAACTTGATCTAGGTCTCGGGAAGGAAGAGGTGAAGCAACTACTCATTTTATTGGATTTTTGTTTGTTTGTTTGTTGTTTTTCATTACTCTGATCGTCCCTCATGTATTTGCCTTGTTTCTGGGCCAACGCAGTCCTCCAAGACCCAGCATCTGGAAGCTCTTGTGAGTTTCACTGGGCTCCCATGCAAGAATGTGCATCCTGGTGTCCTGGACACACTGGAAGTGCTGTGCAGACTGGTTCCTGGATCCTGGGTGCCTGCCTACAGCTTGGTTTGTTTGCTCAGTTGTGTAACTAAGCACAGAGAGTCTGCACATGCAGAGCAGAACCACCATCTTGCTTGTGGTCACAGGAGATGTATCTGGCTTTGCACCGGGCTTCTCTCTTCAGGTGCTCAACAGAAAACTGATCCAGGACCCAAGACCTCATCCTATCATGTTCTACCACCCAGCTACGAATTTCTACATGCTAATGCAACAAAGCATTAAAAAATTATCTCCTACACAAACCCATCAATATCAAGCCTGGTGGGATAAAGCAAAAAGGTGTTTGGGAAGAAAATGACCGATCAGCTTGTGCTTTTCAAATCTCATGTGATTTTCTGATTCCTTTCACAAGCCAAAGAAGAAACAAAGCCTATGACAAATATCCACCCGGGACTAAATATAACCATCTTTCTCAATGTGGAATTTGATGATGACACCCAACATAAGTAACCCAGGTTTTATGGAATCTAAACAATCACTTTTTCCATTCCTGAGTTGTTTTTCTTCTGCTTACAGAAACCAAAATCTAGCAGTGGTTGTAGTCTCTGAAATATTTCTCCACTTATTGGAAAATTAGTGCTGTGTCCAGTCCTTGAAAACTATTGCATCCTGAACTCAGCATTTTAATCTCTCTACGTAAATATTACTCGTCTCAGCACAGACACAGCTATTTATTTCCCAAATCCATCAAAATTTTAACAACTTTCTCCTCGACCCATAGTTCCTAATTTGATGTAATACAGCCAGGTTGCTATGATTTATGCCCTTCCAGAGAGGACTCGCACTATAATAGCCTAAGTTACTTCAGAGTCATAAAAGAAATGGAAAACCTTTGGGCTTCTTAAAGCATTACAAGAACTTTCCTCTGCCTGTTCTTTCTCATTAACCTTCATAGTGTGACAAAGGCATCACATTTGCACTGTGCTGCCGCAGCCTCCCTCTCAGAACCCCTGGCCACTTTCTGCCCTAAAATCCCCTGGCATTTAACATGGAGACTGGTGAGACACGTAGTGTTGGTAGCAACTGTCAGCCCGTGCTGGTAACTACAGTGGTGGCTTCGTTCCTCCTTGCTCTTCCACCCCGGTGGCTGTGGCTGAATTGAATTCCTGTACTCTGGGAGAGCGGCAAGGGAACACCAAATCCTTCAATGCCGAGCACATCAATCGAGCTGGTGTGTGTGTCATTACTTGCTGGGGTTATAAATGGGGTAATTCCAGGGCTTTTGGGATGTTGCTGCCTTTATCAGAGCCTATTTTCTCAGCTGTACTAGAGGCAGAGCGAAAGGAAGCTCATATACAAAATCCCCAAGAGATTACAGGAGAAATGGGAGAGAAGGGGTCTTTTGGGCTGAGCAGGAGAAAGCTTCCTCCATTCTGTTTTCTAATGAAGGCTGAAAAACTGACTCGGCAAAGAAAATGAGACTAGGAAGGATTCTTCACGGTGATAAAAAAGAAGTGATGCACTACCGGTAAGCACGCCTAAAGTGAAAAACCAAAGTTCGTGACAAAGCTCAGCTGGGAGGAGAAGTCCTCTTTACTTGCAGCTTCTTCAAATAAGGAAAATAGAGCCAGATGCTGGAAACCCTTACTTGCATGACTACTGAAGTCAGCACACTTAATCATGCTGATAAGATATTGTGGGCTCTAGCTGTGAAATTGGACAGGGACAGAAATAAAGTTGTTGTTTCTTGTCATGCAGAAATCGCTGAGACTGTGGTTTCTAAGGATGCAAAAACTTGGTGAGACAGATGTTTTCCACCCACTGCTGAACAGATCCCATTCCCTCAGCACACCGAGGGAAAGGCGTGAAGGGAAGTAAGTGGCATTACTGATTGATTGCCTTCGCGGGGACAATGTTGTGCCAGACTGCACGTTCCCTGGCTCCCTACCCATCAATGCCATTGGCCTCAGATGTCCTATCTGTAAAGCAAAATTAGTAACACTACCTTCTTCTAGCTCTCTTGAGCCCTTCAGGGATACAGCCTATTTCTTGAACAGGGCCATTGAGCATGTCCACAACACAACTGTGGCAAACTGAGCCCAGTTCTTTCACATAAGAGATGAAATAGATACTACTTTTTAAACTTTTTACCTTAATAACACAGGACCAAATACACTGAGCCATACATTTGGTACCCTTAATTTTAACAAAAAGTCTCCTTACCCTACCCCCATCACCTGCCAGACTCCTGTGGTACACCCATCCACTGCTAAAGCCAGGCAGAAATTGACTTTTCTGATGAAGTCTGCTCTGTGCACGAAGAGCCACCACATGGCTTGTTGTTACATCCATGTCTGACAGATGATGTTCTCCAAGTCTGCACTCATTTGAGTTGAGGGTTTGATCTCGCTACCGAGGCCGCACAATGGAAAGCCTTGCGCAGATGTGTTTGCCCATTACTCTGCTCCAGTAACCAGCCACGTTTCCATGTGGCCAGTTCATATCAGTAAGAACTACTGAGGTCATTAATGAAGAGCAAAATTATTAAGATCCCTTTTCAACTGAGACGTTTTTCTCAGGTGTGTGATAAGAAGCCCTGATAAGCTTTGCCTGCGACGGTAACAAAACACAGCGGGCATCGCTGAAGATCATGGCAAACCCACATGGCTGTTACAGCTACCATCTGTAAAAAAGCCAGACCACTGAATTCACTGCATTACTTGCTGGTTTAACCCTTCATCACCTCTTCTCCATGAAGATGGAGGCCTGGGCACTCTGCTCTTTAATGACCTGGCAGTTGGATGAGTTAATACACAATGGGATGATGGTTGGTCTGAGTGTGTTTTAAGTTCTCCCTTGCAACACATATTACAGAAGGATTTTGGATCAGACAGACCTGCAGGGTATAGGGCAGTGGCCTGTGAAGGAAAAGATACCAAATGTGCGATGGTTTTTTGCTCTAGAAGCATCACAGTCCAACAACCAAGTCTTAAACCCTTTAATGCGCATCCCACGTCCTTTGCAGGTTGGAAACCAGGAAAGGAAGACAGTTGTTACTTATTGTCATGTAGGTTGAATACAGTTCAAGTCACAGCTCGTTACAGGTGGCAGTTTAAGTGTGCCCCCAAACAAGGACAAAAATGGTTCATGCAGATTTGGTTTACTGTGGTGCCCATTAATAAAGTCACACTCAGGAGGCAAGCAAGGCTTTAAACTCAGACCCAGTGCTAGCATACAGAAAGAAAGGAAAAAGAAAATCACTGGGGTACCCCACTGGGATTTCCCTCCTAAAATAATTAAAGGTGTAGAGAAAAATGAGCCCCAGGAGCCCAGCATCCACCAGATGTCACTGATGTTCCTCACAAAACCAGAGGACCCAGCACCAAGATGTGGGAAAAAAATCCAAAGTGCATCACAGGTGGGTGAGTTCTGCAAAATTCCAGGAAGCTTCCTATTTAAACCAAAAAAACAACCTGTTTCAAACTCCCTGAAACATTTTCCTTTTTCTTTTTTTTTTCCTTCTTTGTAAAGACAAAGTGCCACTGAACTTTTCCTATTTACAAAGGCTGATGCACTCTGCTGACAGGACTTGTGTACTCCTGACCTCTCTCGCTCTCTGATATTTCTTCCTGATGGTTTGAAAAGGGACCATTAGAAAGGGAACGTGAGCGGTTCCCGTATTTTTCCTCCCGCCTTGTTTCCATTCAGCCTGAGGTTTCACTCACCCCCGGGTACAGTTTGGATGGCAGAGCTGGCAAACAGCATTCCGGTCAGCATATTTCCAGACGAGGGTGTCATTCTCACCCAGAACCCCGGCTGGGCAGGATTTCACGCAGTGGGGGCCGTCTATAAAATGGGCGCACTTCACGCAGTTGTCAGGGCCCTGCAAAGAGAAACAGTTTGCTTATAACGAACGCCCTTACATTGGCCTGCTCAGGAGGAAACTCAGATCCAAACGTCTGCAACTGCTGGAAGTTTTCAGCATCATCTGGTTTCACTACCTAGCTACCTGATATTCTTGCAAGTATTTGCTCTTGTAGGTCGAAATGTATAAAGGGCAGTGCCTGATGTTTAAAGCTAATATTTTCTTGAGTTTCAGTGTTGCTGCCTTTTTTTTTTTTTTTCCCCTCTGCCTTCTGCCTGTTTGGAAAGTTTGCATTTTTCATTTAAAATGGGGAATAATTTATATGATGCATTGATAAAGCATAAACTGAAAAGCAGAGAGCCCAGCTGCTGCCTGCTGCAATCTACCATCACACAATTCAAAACGATGGAGCTGGACCTGCTGACACCTCCCTGAATTGGTGGCCTCCAATTATTTTCCTCGTTTCTCAGTGCAGGTTCTTTCCTCTGTTAGGGAGAAGCAGGGGATTAGGAGGCAACCCAGGGAGTCCATGTGTTGGGTTTTCTTTTTACTTTGAAAAGCACTTAGTTTGTGTTTAAAGGCATTGCCTTTGGCCATTTTGGGCATAACTGCTTTTATTTAGACTACAGGAAAAAAAAAAAGCAGGGAAACCAGCAATTCTGGGTCAAATTCTACTGTGGAGAAAAACCAGCCCAGATCCACAGCATGGGATTCAGTGGGACTCCACTAAGACACGCTATGGGAAGAGAATTTTAATTATGGTCATGTCTAAGGGCCTCTCTATTAGACTGATTACTAGACGCTGGGCAAATATGGAACAAGTGGGTGGTCACCGCCTGAAGGAACTTATAATGTTAATAAAATCCCTTAGGCCGTTGGTGGTCTAAGCTACAAGGGAGGATGGAAATGCTTCACATTACTGAGCAGTGACTCTGCAGACTGATGATGGGCAAGGGGCAAACACTCAGTGGCTGCAGGGGATGGCAAGAGGTGTTTAAAGCGTTGGGTTAAGTAACACAGACAAGTATCTGTGATGGAAGCAGGAGATTCAATTTCAACTACAAAAAAGGGAGAGAATTAGAGTTTTACAATTAAGATATGAGTTTGATCTGATTAAAAGGAAATAATTTTGCACCACTGCCAAACTGGACATCTCATAATGGAAAATAATATTCTCTAAATCAAAGAAGAACAAAATTGAGGAAGACTCTGGATGGCTATCAAGAGTACACTGTATGGACTTTTGTATGAAGTTGGAATATTTAAACAAGTTTGAAAATCCAGTTTTGTTTTGGTCACCTTTCTTTGAACATAACTTGCACCTGCAATTACTTTAACAGATTTACTGTACCTTAGTCAGAAGGGGGAACATGGTTTTAAGTAAAAAATGCTTCCTGAATATTTTCCAGTAAATATCTGATTTTGATAAAAATTTTATAATGGCTTTTCAAAAAGCTACTGTTTTAATTCACTGTTTTTAACAGTTCTTTCCCTCTGTCTGCTCAGTAACTACATATTCTTGAAATGTTCATCAACTTACTGTATCATGACATATGTAAGTAAGCCTTACCTTTTTTTTTTTCTGTAAAAAGACACAGAAAAGAAAGGCCCCTCAACATCTGATTACACGTATGATGGGTGACATGAAAGACAAACAATACCCTGATGTTCCCTCTCCTGTTTCTGCTCCCCTGCCCCAGACATTGCCCTCTAATCCTCCCATCTCTACCTGATCCTAGAGAAGGGTAAATTTTGAGACCTCAGGATTATCTCAACACGGGAAATATATATTAATACGTGGCCTGAGGTGCAGGTTTGCTAAGCTGAATCTGCTCTTACAGGTCCAGTGCAGGTCGCATTGTAGGCGGTGGAGTTTTGCACCAGGCACTCGGGGTGGCAGGGAAGGCACTTGGAGTCCCTTTCAAACTCTCTCGGCTCCCTGCAAAACAACAAAATAAAAGAGAAATAATTAAAAACCAGGCTGATTAGCGACTGATAAATTGTGGTCATCTCTCCTTTTGTGCCTTTTCCAGTTTAGATCAGGATGATGGCACCGAGACAGGAGGAGGTACAGGGGGAACCTCCTGGTTACACCAGCAGCACTTGCTCAGTGCAACCACGGGGAGGTAAGAGTAAGGGAAATTTGTTTGATGGTGAAACACATGGCAATCCAGATTGCACATTACAAATTAGTTTACTTTCCCTTTTAAGCTAACGACACAGAATATTCGCAGTGATTTCCAAAGGCTTTTAAATGGTAGTGATGCAAAGAGATCAACAAAAACAGTCCAAGTAATTCCAAGGCTCCAAATAATAATTAGCAAAGTTAAACAGCATTGCACTGATAATTAAATTCATGCCCTCCCTACAACACACAATGAATCATTAAAATATGAAAGTTGGGAACAGATGGTTTCAATAGCAATAAAGCTGTTCTACTTCAAGTAATGATGTTATTAATTAAACTAAATCTACCCATCATTTGACACAAAAAAATACCCAGATCTGCCCTTCAGGTCATAATAGCTGCTGGAGGGAATTCACTTACAAAAAAGACAGCTGCTGAACTGCTAGTTGCTAGGGAAATACTAGGAGCAAACTCCTAACCAACGCTGAATGGGGAAGAACTACCTCAGCTCCTGGCTCTTCCCTCTTTTTAGGTACTGTGCTCACACAACATCCGTGCAAAGCTGCTGAAATCCTTTCTTCCTAGCTATAACATGTTCTAAAACTCAAAACCCCCCAAATCATCACCAAAACCTCAAGCAACCCCAGATGCCTTACCCTTGAAGGATGTTGCACTGTTTCACACACTCCTTCTGGCGATCGAAAAACCTGCAGGAGAAGCAGTGGAAGGGTCCAGGGCCCCAGCAGCCCACGTCCGAGCACAGGGGGTCACAAACGTGCCTGGCAGCAGCTGGGAAAGAGAGACAAGAAAAAGAGCCATGAACTTCAAGGCAGGAGAGAGAGCAAACACAGTACTGCAAGTAACTCCATCCTGACCTGCCAGTTTCTCCAACCTATTCCAAAGCAGACGTGAATGGTCCTGGTTGTGTGGAAGAAGAATCACAGAGTTATAGAATGATCTGGGTTGGGAGGGACCTTAAAGGTCATTGAGTTCCAACCCCCCAAGGCCTGTAGTGATAGGACAAGGGCAATGGTTTTAAACTGAAAGAGCGTAGATTTAGATTGGACAAAAGCAAGAAACTCTTTACAATGAGGACGGTGAGACACTGGCCCAGGTTGCCCAGAGAAGCTGTGGATGCCCCATCCCTGGAGGGGTTCAAGGCCAGGCTGGATGAGGCTTTGAGCAACCTGGGCTAGTGGGAGGTGTCCCTGCCCATGGCAGGGGGGTTGGAATAGATGATATTTGAAGGTCCCTTACAACTCAAACCGTTATGTGATTCTATGATCAATTGTCAAAATACAACGAATTCACATTCTGCAAAGAGAAATATTTATATTTTGGCCCAGGGACCACTGCAGTCAACAGCAGCATCATTGAACAACAGCTTCAACCTTGTCAAAAAAGTCCAATGTTTCAAGTTGTGTCCTTCAACCTACGTGGCTTCACTATACCCACAGTGGTGAAGCAGGTCCTTCCAACCAGCTGGACACCAGGAAGTCCACATCCTCGGTGAGAAAAAACCCCACTTTTCCTTCCCCCCTTCATTAAAGCAGCGTCACTGATGAATTTTGCAGCCAGGGGAACAGAGCGAAAGAAGCCTTGCTTGAACTACTTCTGCATTTTAGCACGAGTTTCCACATGGTCCGGGAAGGCAGCACTGACTTACCACACTCATTTTTATTTCTGTTCTGTATAATCTTTGTTTTCTGGCTCTGAGTTGCAAACAGGCTGCGCCAGTCCATGGTATCAGCATAGCAGAGGTTCTTGTTCTTCATAATGGCAACATCTCCATCACTTATTTCCTTGAGGGAGCGCAGCCCCAGGGACTGTATTTTCAAGTTAACAACAGCAAGGGAATACTGGCCACTGAAATGGACACGGAGAAAAAGAAAAAAAACACAGAAGAAAGAGAATTAGTAAGCAGGGTTTAACTCAGCACATTTTTCTTCTGGTTTCCAAACATGTGTTGCTGCAAACTCAATTTTGTTCAAGCAAGACACTGCTCAGCCTGGTACGTGACCTACCTATCATAAAACAACTGTAATATCTGGTTTTGCATGGGTATTGTAAGCTAAAACTGGCAGGACATGCGTGCTCTGTCAAGTAAATGAGGTGCAACAACGGTTGTAGGTAGAGAAGGTATTATTTTGCACTGGTCCACCAAGCCATCCTTCCTCTTGGAGTAAGGCCAGGTGGGTGCTGGATGCACTGATGGCATCCGCACCGCCTGCCAGCCGTGGTCTCTATCCCCAGATGCCCAGCTACCTGAAATCCCAAAGTGCTTCCGATCACATCATAACTTGTCCTGGACTGCAAAGAGTGCTCTCCGCCCTGTTTGCGCTTCCTGGCTGGTGGGACAAAGCCTGGTCCTAGAACAGGCTCAGCACAGCCCTCTACGCGCAGCGCTGCAGGTTTGATTCTCCCAGGGCACATTATCTACTGAAACAAAGATGGTGCTCGATGCCCCGCAGGCTTCTTCCGATTTAGCATCAGTTTGGGGACGCCTGTGTCTCACCACTTGGTACCTTGGTGCACTCGGTCAAACACAGCTCTGAACAGTTTCTTTTACCATTGCTCTGGCACATGATTTACTTACTGTTGCTTGGTTCTGCCTCGTATAATCTCCAGATTTTCGAAAGCATAGAGATCAGTAGCATTCTCAGGCCAGGCCTGAATCAACAAAAATCCTGAAATGAAGAAAAGAAGATTAAAAAAAAAAGTCAGTATTGGCAGCAGAACCTCCTCCTTGAGCTCCTCCTGTGCCGGGAGAAGGCGCTTGTGCTTTCCCTATGGTTGTCTGAAAATCTCAGAGTGAAACATGACATTTTAGGGAGCAGGGAGACATTTTTAAACCCTGTTTTATAAACAGTTTACTTCTTAGCCCACCATGAGGGCTTAGGAGTGCAAGAGATGAGCGTGCTGGTGAGCCGCACATCCTGCCACACCGAGCCACCGGTGATGACAGCTCTTGCCAGTAGATACTCTGGCTGAGAGGCTGGGGGAGAAAGGCATTGCTCTGTCCCATTCGGGAGCTGCCCTCAGGGAAGAGAAAACTGCAGAAAAAGCCAAAACGGAGCAGAACCGACAGTGGATTTGCTAAGGCAAGCGTATTTCCCTGCTCAGACGAGGTGCTCGGGAGGAGGGGAAGAATTTGGGAAATTGCAGGCTGCTGGATGAAGCTCTGGGATTAGTCATTGCTACCCTGAAGGGAACCAGACAGGTAAAAGGCAGAAAGGGGAACTGCAGTCACGTCTGTGCACCCAGCTCTGATGTTGCACTCATTTTATAATGGGCTCAGCAAAATTACTGTTAATTGATACTTGGTGCAAGAGGGTGGCTGAACGCTCCTCTGGCCGCTTTGTGCTCGTGGAGATGCTTTCACCCCAAGGAAGAGCTCTTCAGGCTGGAGAGGGTGTCTCCTCGAGGATGATGCAAGACACTGAGCACGCTTCCCTAAGGAGCTGCTGAAAGGTTTTCCACAAATAGAAACACGCTTGGCTTTTTTTAGCTGGAGTGGCACGCCTCTGCATCACCACATACTTCTTGGGTGGCTGAGGATCTCCTCTGCTTTTACTCTTTGCGAGGGCTGACAGTTCAGCAGAAGGGATGGTCTGGCCAAACCACACATCTGGGACGGGAGGCCAGTATGGGTTACGTGGGTGTAGCGCTGGCGAAGCGCTGCTGACCACCTTTGTGAAGAGTGACCCCTGGTAGCTCAGAGGCAGAAACCATTCGCTTGCATTTCTCTTCATGCTCTTAAAAAAATTCCCCTCCTCTGCCCTTGTGTTTTTGGCAGTACCAGAGAACACCTCAGCTTAAAACCCACTGCTTACCTGATATTTCTTTGACTGTTTTGAAGACATCCAACTTCTTCGGGTCCAAGGGTAGGGTCTTTGTGAAAGCATCACTGAAAAACACAGAATGAGGAATTGGGAAAAGAATGGCTCAGCCCAAATTTCTCTCTAGCCCTTCTCCTGAAGTGCTGAACAACCAGAGGGCAACTCACCCTAGAAATGCAACTGGGAGAATGCTGACATCCCCGTTGATCTTAGTACAGTTTTTGAAGGAGTCAATGTTTGTGGCGTTTATGGAGAGGATCCCTTTAAGTTCACCTATTCCGATGCCGTTGCACACTGTTAAAAGAGAGGTTAAGAAATCAGGGGGCAGAAGAGTGAAGCCCAACCACATGGAAAGGAATAAACATGAGGATGCTATTAGCCCAGAAAGCACTCCCATATGGTCAAACCTACCACTGTAAGATGAGTTTCAGACATCTTTTGCCTACTTTTGCTTTTCAGAAAGCACAACAGGATAAATGCTTCCTGCTTGCCCAGATGTGCAGCTCTGGTCCCAGCATCTCTGCACATAGGCTCTGGCACATGCCCTTGACTCTTTGCCCCATTTTCATTTTATTCCCCTTGATGAGATATTGGGAAGGACAAAGGAGGAGGCTGACGTGCAAGATATGCATGCACACAACGCAGTTGATCTGTGGCACTTGTGGTATATCCCAGTTGGAGAGCATGCTCCACAGCCATGTTTCCTGATCAAACCGCTTGTCAGATCTCCAAACTATCACTGGATATTTACTTTGAATTTGTGCTTAATTGAGGTCAGAACTCCATGTGTTTTGTCTAGTAAGGTACCTGTCCTCTCAGAGCCTTACTGGTTTATTCCATTCTTTTTTTACCTTTGCTGCATAGCCCATCACACTTTTTACACTTCCGAACACCGTTTTCTTCCACTTCATAAGTATCGGTATTGCAAGAGCGAACGCATGAGCCATGGTCTGTCACCACGTAGTTGTCTGGAAAAAACAGGGACACAAAGGTCACTGAAATATGGGAGGGATGCACTGGGGGCTGCACAGGCTCTTCAATACGAGGAGGAAAACGGGGGTTTTGAACTTCTGGCATACTTAGCAAAGTACAGGCATTAATTATTAATTCTCACAATGTCCTTTGAAGGTAGACAGACATACAGTGCTATCACCGTTGTATAGAGAGGGGAACGGTCACAGAAGGATAAAACAATATTGCCAACGTCAGGCTGTGCAGCAGTGCCACAATCAGGATCGATGCACAGCACTTCTGACCCCTCACCTTCACTCACTCTTCCAGGCTAAGGGCCAGGGAGGGCAATGGTCAACCTCAGAAAGGGATATCAGCCTTGTAAGCTAAACCTTCTCTTACATATCGGTCTCAATGGGTTAAAAAACCACAGACATGGAACAGCATGAAAGAAAAAGCAAGCATCTGTAGAGGAAGCAATAATCACAGGCCTTGAGAGGGAGTTTTTGAACCAATTACTTTCTATCAGTCCTAATTAAGAATCAGATTAAGAGTTGCTAATGCTTTGGTAACCCACAGGATTGATCCCATGTGACTTATTTGGCTGTTGTTTTGATGATTCTCATAAGACGCATCTTTTGCCCCACCAAGAGAAAAATCTTCAGAAGTCAAAATTTAATGGATAAAAACCAGGGAAGGTGATGGATGCAGCCACTTTGAAGAGGCTGTCTTCTTTACCGGCTATTCTCTCATTTTTATCACCTGTTCCCAGCTGCCACAGAAGCCGAAGAGAACAAGAAAGTGCTGTTGCACTTGGCCATAACCTGAGGGATGACACAGGTCCCTTCCCACCTCCCTCCAACCCCCCACCTCCACTGTGGCTGTGACCTGAAATGAACTTACGTGGGCATTCCCTCACACAAGTGGCTCCAAAGCTGTATTTTCCATCGGGGTTGACATCCATCTGATAAGTGGTGGGATTATACAGGACCAATGGGGGACAGGTATCCTTGCACGTAGCGTCATCCCGAAACTTGCGGCATGCCTGTCGTTAAACAACAGCACCCATTAAACTACCTTCTCCTTAAAAAGCACCAGTGGTTTTACATTAGCTCTTCAATAACATTCTGATGAGCACATCTGTTCCTTGCTTAGCTCTAATGGAATCCCCAAGCACCTACAGGGATGATCTCTCATGCTTTGACGGTGAAAGGTTACTTCAGGTTGGGCAATTGAGTTTAATATTTGAAAAAAAAAAAAAAACAACAGAGAGAACATGAATTTTTCGTGTTCTGAACAAGAAATCTTGGCACTCTGGTCGAGAGCTGCTGAGATTCACGTGGGAACAGGAGCAAATCTGCATACTTTAGACAGAAGAATTTTCCCTAAAAAATTCCCTACAAGCAGTAACCAAATCAAGACAAACGGTACTTTTCTTAGCCATTTTTTAATAACCTAAATCAAATCAAGTCCTTTCCTGCAGATTACTGACTTTTCTGGCTAAATATTAAACTGAAGCCATTATATTTACCTGCAGGTAATGAGCAATTTAGCTGGCATTTATGAAGGACAAGTTGGTTCTTCCAACCTAATACTGTATTAAATTAATAATCATTCTCTTTTCTCCTTTTTTTCTTCCCCGGTTTTCCAGATGAGAGAGAATAACTGTCTTTTCTGTGAGCCAGTAAGGGCACCATAGCCATGCAATTTATAAGGTGACCAGGAATACAGGTAACAACAACAAATTGAGAGTAGACGGTTTCTGTGGCAATTATTCAAGTGTCACTTAATTCAGAATGAAGTGTAGTGCAAACCATAGGGAAGAGACAAAAACACAGCATGCACCAACCCCCTGAAACTCTTGTAGAAAAGCAATGGGATTTTTTTTTCCCAAAAAACCTCCATTTGCTCCTTCTCCCTCCACTGCCCCAGGGTCTCCCAAACACTGTTTTTGTGGCAAGTGAAAACCAGAAGGGGAAACCTTGATTTCATGTCTGAAGTACAATGAAATGCAAAAAAAACCCCAAAACCCCCCCCCAAAAAAAACCAAACCCCAAAACTAAAGATATTTGATTCCCGTTACAAGTTCTTGCTTTGGTAAACCAAGATTATTACTGACTAGTGCTGGGAGCACATGGCAAAGCTGCGCTGGCATGGAAAAACACTGCACATGGTGGCAGCTGAGGACCTGGGGACCTGCCAACGTGGGGAAGTTGCCCTGCAGCAAACACTTAGCTGCTCTGCAACAACTTTGAGAGCTCTCAAAAGCACTAATGCTGGTTTGGCATGGGCTAGGAGGGTCCACCTGCAGAGTCAGTAAAGACCAGCTAAAGGTGCTGTGAAGTTCATGTCCTCTTCCCAACCACCGACCGCTCGTGCAGGGAAGCCCTGGGGCATCCTGCAGGTCAGCATCTCTCAGAGGCTTTCTTGGATGGGAAGAAAGCTAGAATGCAGCTGAAAGCCTGCCTCGCCATGCCAGGGATTGAAGCAATTCTGGGGGTGGTGTAGCATCGTTACCAGGCAGTCGCTCTCCCGAGGGCCCGTGCACCCCGCAGCACACTGGTTGTGGCAGCAGTCGCTGGGCACCTTCCCCCTGCACCGGCCAGAGCACTGCTGGGCACAGATGACTTTCGTTACTGGAAGATACACACACACACACACAAAAAAAAAAAAAAAAAAAAAAAAGGAAACATTACGAATGAAGGATGTTTAAGCTGTTCTCGCTGCAATGAGATCAAGAAATACAGAGAAAAATTATGGTGCAGGATCTGTGCTAGATTTTCCCCAATGGGATGTGTATTCTGTCCTCATATAAGGCCAAAGCTTGGGAGGGGTAAGAGGCGATGTGAGCGGCAGGAAAAGGGGCTGTGTTCTGCCTGTAATCATGTTGTCTCTTGCGAGGTGATAAGCGCTCTAGTCCCAGCCAGCAAATCATGTCCTGCTTAGAAAGAGCATCCAGGTTCCTGTGGCATCAATGCCTAAACCAAGAAAAACTCTGTGGAGTCATTGCATCTTACAGCTGGGTAACAGAGCAGGATTTGGCTCCATTTTATTGAGAAAATCTGCTATTACTGGTGTTAGGTTTGGGAAAAACAACACAACAGGAGAACTGTCAGGACTCCGTACTATAATGGGAAACCATACATTGTTGGTGTGGTGTTAGGATCCCTTCAATGCACTAAAAATATTTCTGAAATTTGCAGAAGGAGGGGAGACCCACTCAGCAAACTGATTTCATATACACATTGTATTATTTTTCTTTAGGCTTCAATTCCTCGGCCAAATTTTATCTTCATTACTCAAATCCCAAAGGGTTTGCACGAGCAGAGGAACTGGCCCTGACTCAGCTTTTTGCAGGGAAGGAAAAACTCCCTGCAACATTTTGTTGATAATTGGGAAATCATCTCCACTTGAATATCAAAGCAGAGAAAATAATAATCAGAACAATTAAAAAAAAACCCCAGAAATTAATGGCTAGCATGTATTTGTACCACAGACCCAAATTGGGATTGTTCTCTACAAAAAAATTACAGATCCACAGACCCTGGCATTAGACATCAGGGAAACCTGAGGGCTAATCCGCTGCATTACAGCACCCTGAGCATTTCAGTTGTGCACTCCAGTAACCGTCATCAGCTTCCTAGTTGGGCACAAATGAGTTACAATACCATCAGGAATTCCTGCAAGTCCGAGACAGACGGTTGTTATTTAAGAGAAAATGATTGGAAAATGTAACCTGCTACAGGCTATATAGCAGCGATTTTTAAAAAATCATATTTCCTATATTTTTCCATTACACACTTCTGTATCCAAACTGTATTATTTCAAGTTATTATATTTTCAAGCAAACAGATTATCTCCACAATATGCATTAGCTTCTCTGATAGCAACTCCTCCGTTCAACTAGAAACGGGAATAAAAGGCACATTGTTCTACATGAACAACATTTTTGTATTATTTTTTTCATAAACATCAGCAGGGGAGTAAAACAGCTCGTCACTTTGATAGCTATTGACTCGAGCTTCCTGCTGGAAATATATACCATGGCAAACATTTATATTTCATACAGAATATCCCACGTTCACTGAAGGAAAAACATACGTATCACCCCAAACTTTCCCACATATGGAAACGTGGGATACACTTTCAGCTGGACAGATTCTCAAACGCCTGGAGAGGAGAGCCAGAGCCTGCAAGCAGTTTCATTTTATGCACTCCTAGTCATCCTCCCAAAACCAGCAAGAGTTTGTAAATTCTGGAAGCTCGCAGGGATGAGACCTGAGGTTTCGCAAGCTCCGGAGACAGCTGTGCAGCCTCAACTGCAGGGACTGACCTGGGAAGGGCTTTGCATGCGCAGCCACTGTCCACCTCGAGAGCCAAGCTGCAGAGCAGACTGAAAAAACCTCAAACTTATACTGAATGAGGACAGAAAAGCTCTATGTTTCTTCTTCCTTAAGCTCTAGAAGCTGTACAAATTTGCAATCAAGGAACTTAGGTTTAGGTGATTATTTGCAACGAAAAACTGAAGATAGGATGTTGCTTTCATTTCAGATCAGCTGTCTTTCCACTGAACTTTACACAAAACTGTAAGGGAAGAAGAATCAGAAACAGTGCATTTCCCTACTTATTACAGAAAAAGGAAGTAATGAAGCAGTGAAACAAATTGAGATGATCTTCCTCCTCAACCTTTACTTTAGGAAAAATAAAGCCTTGCAAAATCTCAAGCACTTCTACATGGATGCTTCTGTCACTCTCCTACTATCAGGCAAGCATGCTACCTGCAAAATTTTACAGTTAAAGCATAGGCAGGCAAACTGAACAAGCTCACAATGCCAAATATCTCCATTTACAGATTAAAAAATGGCTATGCATTTTCTGAGAGCCTCCCAAAGGTCCTCCCAGTACAGTATGTAGTGTGATTACCCACACGAAGGTGACATCTTTTGTGTTTACAAAAAAAAAAGGAGGAATGCCAGCAAAAATTGTGTTATGTTGTTGCTTCTAATAGTAGAAATTAATCCAAAGTGTCATTAACTAGCCTGCAGAATGGCTCTGTGGGAAACAGCAGGAAGGCAAATAATTTACCGCACAGCCACTGTGTCCTCTCTTAGATGGTAAAATCACTTAAAGAATAATGTTTTCAAGTGCAGATGGGAGAAAGTTGTGGGTGACAGACAGAAGATTTCAATGCGGAAGACAGGTGCAGTCTTTTCCCTCTGGAGGAACAGCACATCTCCAGGGAAACCCAGACCCAAGTCAAAACACATCCAGGTTTCCCGTCCAGAAATGAGAGCTGCTCGAGGGGAGCGGGCACAGCCATCCTCCCTGTGACAGCACTTCTGTCCCTCTGCGGTATGCTTCCAGGAGCCCCAGCGTAGCTGGACACGGAGAAGGACAAGTATGAAACGCGTGTCACTTATTTGTGCCTGACAGGTTAATCTTCCAGTAGATAGAAATACAGTATGTCAGAGCACCCAAGAAATTTCTTAATTAATCTGCAGGCTTACACGTCTGGCAGTTCTGTTCACCAGGGCCCCAGCAGTGGTCTTCTGTGCAGTTTGGATGGCATTTGGGACCTGAAACAGGAGAGCAGAGTATTATATTCTGTAAACATGGACAACAACAACATGTGAGTCACAGAAAACTTTCCTTCTTGATAAATCAGGGGAGGAAGCACCTATATACCAGTGCTCAAAAATTTTGAGAGCTGGACCTTAAATCCTTATCCTTTGTTCATCTCTGATTTCCTGTGTGCAGTCCTCCACACCTTTGAGCACACGAGTGCAATACCCAGCCAGCCTAGTTTACGAAAGAAGGCAGATTTAGATTAGATATTAGGAAGAAATTTTTCACTGTGAGGGTGGTGAGGCAGTGGCCCAGGTTGCCCAGAGAAGCTGTGGATGCCCCATCCCTGGAGGGGTTCAAGGCCAGGCTGGATGAGGCTTTGAGCAACCTGGGCTAGCGGGAGGTGTCCCTGCCCATGGCAGGGGGTGGAACTGGATGATCTCTAAGGTCCCTTCCAACCCAAACCATTCTGTGGTTCTGTGAGTCTATGGTGATTTTTCCCAGGAACAGGAATCTCAGCTAGTGCCTGGCTGGCCCTTCTGCTGGAGTTTACAAGCAGTGGCAAGTCACTGCCAGCTTGTGGCCGGGCATGTGCCAGCTGCTCGCTACAGGCCCCACGTAAATCAATGTTTCTGAACAATGCGGTTCTAAAGAGAAAACAAACCCAACTGGATTTGCAGGCAATCGCCAGCTACTCCGACCACAAAGTAATGTGGCTTGTCTGCTTCACACCCTCCTCCTGCCCTCTGCCAAAAATACTCCTCAGTGTAGGACTACGCTGCAGCACATGGACATGGAGAGGCAGCAGGATGGATGGACACCCTGCTTGACCTTGCAAGTTCAATGCTGGCCTCTTTCCCATCCCTCCCTTCTCACTCTTTTCTTTTTCTTTCTCTTAATTACGAGCAAAGTCCCAGAGAAACAACTTATTTTAGATTATGAAACATTATTAAAACCATAAATGGCTGTCCAAGCAGATTAATCTGGAATTCACTATATTTAAGAGGCATTTCCTACTAGAATGATTCTTCCTGCTAATAACACGTGATCCTCCCTCCCCTCTACTGCCCATCAAATAGCTGAACGAACGCCAAAACTTGTCTGAGAGTGGGGATTGATTTGCTGTGGGACCAAAGAACTTTTTTTTTTTTTAAGTTGAAAAGTTAAAGGTTAACATTTCTGTGCTGTTTAGAGCCAAACTTCTGTGCTGACTTGTATAGCTCACAACTCCTTGATTACGCTACGGCTCCACAGAAAATTATGTCAACACAGAAGTTGGCTATTAGCTCTCAGCCAATTACGCAACTGGAAGAAGATAAAGAAAGTATGTTTTTCTGCTAATTTATAGTGCCAGAAATGAAATGCCCAGAAATTAAAATAACATATCCTTTCCACGAAATGACTGGGGATTTTACAAGGGACTTGTAAGGCTGAAGGATTAGCTTGAGCCCACCCTAAGCATATGCCACACAAACTTTTAAATACACGCTCATCTCCCTGCTGATCTAAAGCATCAGATTTATCTGCCTGTTTATCATTAATTTTGCAAGAACAACCTGCACAGCCCAAAACACCAGTTTTATGGCACTCAACTTGGGCCTTAGCACTAAAAAGGCTCCAGCTCCCACAGTAACGCCATGAAGGTACCCATATGGGTTTTCTAGACCAGAGCCTTACATTGTCAAGAGAAGACTGCTGGAAAGCAGACAACTGCATGTTATTCTGAGCTGTCTTTGAAGAACACATACATAGGGTACTGTCTGAAACCAAGAGAAGCTTTGAAGAACTTCGCTGACTTACGAGTTAAGGACCTAACCGCCACGAAAATTACATTTTAGGCCATTGGTGAAGAAAGGAAAAGACCTCCCTTGAAACAGGGCTTGGTGGCCCTGCATGAAAGAGTTGGTGGACCTGAAACCCACCACATGGAAGATGGTACGTTCATTGTTCTCTCTGAAATGGGGGAGCACGCAGCATTTTTGGTAAGTTAATACTCACAAGAGGAGAGGTTGCTTGCAAATTCAAGCACCGTGAGAGGCTTCTTGTTTGTGTCAATGATGTCATTCCAGAGAACAGTGTCCATGTTGCACAGTTTGGGGTTGTTGCTGATTTTAACACCTCCGTTGAGAATTTCTGCCATGAAAGGAAAAAAAATGGTAAGTGAAGCAAACTGCCCATGTCTCCTGTCTTTGATCTAAAGAAAGGGAAATAAAACCAATATTTCTTCGCCTCATTCACACTGTCCTGACACAAAAGGACAATCTGCACAGCACCAGCACTCCTGATGGTGCAACTAACATCAGGCTCAGACTGACAGGTTCTGGAGGGTCAGCTGCTGTTGGATGCTACTAAGATACCACTACATGTGGATTTCTGCCTGGTGCCACCTCCAAATATATGTATACATAAAAGGCTATTTTGCATTATAATATTATAAAATACTGAGTGGATACTTTGCTGTTTTGGGAGACACAAATAAATCTCACCACCCTGTTGATGCTTTGGATTATCTGGATCTTTCTGCCATGGGAAATTATGAACTTTCTTCGTCTTTTGAAGAAGGCCAGCTAGCAGGAAAGTAATTAGGAAACTGGGAAACTACACTCAGATCCCTGTTTTAAAAGCAGGATTTGATGGCATATGACTTTGAGAGGACATCTTCAATTGGATCTTGATACCGAAAACCCAACAGTTGAAGTTTGCTTTACAGGTGCCTTCACCTCTTGTCCTCCTCTCACCTGATAGCCGTTTCATGGGCAGCTCTCGGAGTCCCTGGGTTTTATTCATGTGGTAATTGGACAAAACTGCCAGGGCATAAGAGTTGTCGTACAGCACATTGCCTCGGATGATCTGGAGGTTTTCTAGGGGAATGACATCCACCATATTAAGCGCGATGAGCACGTAGCCTGCAACCTCCTGTATTGTCTGAGAGAACAACAGAAAAAACCATGTGCTTAATCCATAGCACTCCTCTACTCTTGACAGAGTCATTTCCTCCTCACACCCCTCCAATCCACCATCTTTCAACTTTAAGGAACAATAAACCACTTAATCTCATTAAAAAATAAATACATCTGAGAACAAGGGAATACACAGAAAACTTTGCTATCTAAGCAGCAAAGTTAAACTGACTCTTAGAGCAGCTACCAGGGGGTCATTACAAAGGTCCAGTTTACCCCTGTTCTGTCCCCGAGGAAGGGCAAGCGGAGCTGCCTAGGAGATACCGGAGAAGAGGGCAAGCATGTATGATATGGCAACCAAGTGTGATGCTTCCCCTGAATACTTGTCCAGACTCCAACCACTGGCAGCAAAGAGATGCCATCTGATTGAGGCTTTTACACTCTCTCTTCTGTGCCCCTTCCCTTGCATATCCTCCAATGCTCAGCAGAGCGGAAGATCAGGTAACCTTCTCTCTCTTAAGTAATAAATAGTTACAGGACAAAAAGACACGTGAGGCACTGTCCCTGGATGCTGAGATCTGCAATTGTGATCTGCAATTTCTCTGACATTAGCTAGCTATGTTTTTGGATCACCACAGCATTTTACAGGTAGCTGATCCTTTGCGCTTCAAAAATGCAGTAAGATTCCTTTAGCAGCGAAGGCCACGTTGGCCAAGAACACTCACCTTCAGAAAAGAGAGGTCACGATTGTGCTCCACGTACGTAATCTCCAGGTTGCTGAGCACCACCTCGCAGTTGTTGTACATCCTCTGCAGGCTGGTGAAATGGTCTTCCACATGTCCCAGTTGGGTCAGCTTGTTATTTGTCCCTTGACAAACTGTGGAGGAAAGAAGAAAGCTCCATGAAGGAAAGCAAGAATAAGAACAAGATAAAGACTTGTTGCCCGCCTGACTTTACAAGCACCACAGTGAGTGAAGCGTTAGCACAGATTCCTAAGAAACAAGAATGTGATTTTGCATGAGCGTAATGGCAAGAGTGCAGAGAGCATCCAAGGCTTCCCAGGCACAGGGAGGTACCAGAATTAAGAGCTGGAATAACCCTACATCACTTTTGGTTGTATAAAAATTCCAGGATGATGCTTTTGTACATAAGTAGCACTAAGTTTTCTGTACCACAAACGTAACTCACCACAGTGCCATCAAACACTATTGAAAGCGGCATGCTGCCAGGTATCACTGAAGGTGATTTCCCTGAGGACCCATTTACAATACTTTGGAGGGTGCTGAGTCTCCCTGTAAGCTCAGTGGGAGGGAGTGGGGGTTTCCTACAGGACCCCTCAAGCTACAAGTCCAGGTTTTAGAGCAAACTGGACCTCCAGGGCTCACACATTTCTTGCCACTCTGACATACGGGAGGATGGTAGATTCTGGAGATTTCCCGGCATATTCAGCTTTGGCACACAAATCCACCTTTGCTTTGCTGGTGGAGAAGGAAGCAGTGCCATACAGAGCACCACTGAGATTACAAACATTTACAACGGCGTGGTGGAAAAATTAGTCCCCACCTGAAGTTCTGTTACTCGGCTTTACCAAAACTAGAGGAACTGTCAAGTTATCACCACTATAGTCTATTGCAATAAAAGAGCAAAATGCAAATTGCTTTAAAGAAAGAAACACCACACACAAGCCCCAGAAACTCTGTGCTCTTCCAGTCATTCCCTGGGCTAAGTGTTTAGCTACATAGCTAAAATTAAAACATCCCCGAGTTACGTCAATACAGAGGAAAGGAGAACAATACAGAAGGCAAAGTGGTAAAAGACTTCACAACACCTTCCAGGTGGAAAGCTTCAGTGCAATTTTGCTCTTCAGTGGGAGCACAAGGAGGCCTTTATCTCATCGTTGTTGTAATGCAGCCCAAGCCTGGCCTCATAGCTTTCCATGAGACACTGAAAGTATTGCATTCTTTTAACTCAGTGAAAAAAAATAAACAAAATGATACTCTTGTAGAGCCATAATTCCCAAAAGCACCAGTCACAAACTGGAACACCACTGTGTGGGGTACTATAAAGCAAAAAACAAAGACTCTCGACAAAGCTGGAAATAAGTTTCAGAGCTAGTAACAGAAGACAACACCTGTTGAAGATTTACCCAACAATTGGAGTTTTATTAGTAGGAAAGAATAACTTAATAAGACACACTTATCAATCGTCAAAGCCATTCCCTGAGCATGTGTTACTTCTCAGTACAGTTGTCACCATTAAGGATCTACTGTGATAACAGATTAAATACTCTTTGTCCATGTTTAAAGCAAGGCTATTCACTCACATTCCTCAATTATGTCTCATTATATGTCTAGATAAATATTATGGCGTTTGGGATCAGTGGCAACTGCTAGTAAATGGGGACAGTTTAACAGGGGCTGTGATTACACCACCTAAGTTGCTTGTTGCTACATCAGCATCAAAGTGTAGAAAATGACCCTTTTTACATTTGCCTTGAATTGCTGTACCAGATGAGAAATTCCTAAGCAGAATTTTTTGTTCCAGTTTCAAACTTAACTGTTTCAATGCGCTCATGCTTAAAATCAGCATTTGCGTTCCTCCAATGAAGGAAAAAGCCCGTAACAAAAGATTCTCAGGTGGCCACAAATGGCCTGATGCTTGCACTCCATGCCTGGTGTTAAGAGCAAAGATCTGCCCTGGTTCTCGAGACAGGCCCTATGCAAAAGCTGCAGTGTTTATGCTATGTCCGAAGGGTAGGAAGGGTGGAAGGAGGAACTTTCTGCGACGGCATCCTCCCGGCCACCCATAACCACCATCGACCCTATGCAGCTTGGTGTTGGCTGGGTTGCACAGCCCAGCTCACTGAAACAAGCCCTAGGAGAAATTGCACACACTTGAACGTGTTTCCCTTGGGACCAGACAAGCACTGGAGCTCTGAATTTGGCTCAGCCATCCCAAGAAACACAGACTTTTTCACTGCTTACTAGGTCAAGGCCGATGCAGCAGGCGGAGGGCATGGTTATTCTTGCTCTTCTCCCTCTCCCACAGGGCCACTCACTGAACCATGCCAAAGAGTTGATCCAAGCTACAAATAATGCAGAACAATAAATAAATCAACAGACAGAGGTTATTTTTAGCTCAGGAAAGGTCGCTGATTTGGTTCACCATGGTGCCCCATGAACCGCTGCATTGGAAACAGCTCCGAGGACAGCGAGGAGGCAGGAGCAAATAGGCAAGAGAAGGAGCTTGCCAGCTTGTGAAGCTGCAGAGGGAAAACCAGACATAACGAGCTCTGAAGAGGCTTCAGGTTTGTCCTCCAGGACCTACTTTTTTCCCCTGTGAGTAAAGAGCGCTTTGATGGCTCTCTACCAAAAAGGTTTCATAAGCCACTTGACCCCTCCATTAGACTCATGTCATCCTCTAAGGACTAAAAAGAAGATGTAGATGAGATGTCAGTTAAGATTCAGAGAACAAAAGAAAATGGGTTGCTTCTGTTAAGATCACAACAGTATAGGGCTAGCAGTACCTACAGGAACTTTCCCCTCATGCGCAACTTTTTGTTTGCTCAAAGGGATAAAAGGCCAAATCCTTGTTTGCTGCAAAGAGATCTAGGTACATCCAAAAAGTGAACTTCATCACAGCAGTATTTACCAAATGAGAACCTGGGTCATCAGCAGTATATGCTGAGCAAATAAAACCCAAATGAAACAAAACAAGCTAAACCCCTGCAGCAGTATCAGCAGTATTACTGAACTCGGGCAAAAATTTTCCAGCTAGAACATTTGGAGACAAAAGAAAATGGCCTGCTTACGTCTGTCTGATGAATAATACTATTCCTGCAATTTCTTTGCTTATGAAAACCATGTTCTGAAAAGATACATGCTATAATTATCTGTATATAATACTACAGTGTGAATGCCATTCTGGCCAGAGGTAAAGAGTTTTAAGTGGGACGTGCATGCATGAGTGGATGGATTATATTATGATTTAACCTCTATTTAGCCTGACCTATTTGCCCTCCAAAGGACAGATTTTGATGCCACATACATTCATTACATGCTTTGTTTCAATGTGCAGCAAAGCCAGCATGATGCAGGTTTAGGAGTCAGTGGTGGGTATGGATATTTATGTGGTGCTGCTGGGGGCTGTGGCAGTACGTACTACATATGTCCCATGTGGATACTTACACATGGCTGCAGCACATTTTAGTTATAAAGGAGAGAAAAAAAAACCTGAGAAATTTCCTGATCAAAATCCAGGATGAGAATGTCCCTGATCAGTAGAAACGCTGAGATCCAGATCTGAACTTCAGGGCACTGGCTGATCCCTAAAAGATGCAAGCTTTGCTCTTATCTGTGATGTTAACATAATAAAAACACAGCCAGTCTGGAAAGTTTTGACACAGAGGGGATGTCCCAGGAGGCTGCTGTCTGCAGCAGCCCTGCCAGGGGGCTGGCTGCTGGGAGTGTGGGGCTCTCCTGTCCCAGCCTGGGCAACCCACCAGACCCTACAGAGCCCCCAGCCACCGTGCTTACGACCTGGAGGCAACCTGAAAAGTCTGCGGGGCAGCAGAATGGGATGACCACCGTGAAACATTTTATTTCTATATGATATCGCTCTTAGCACACACGCTGCACTTCCTAAATGCCGAAGTGATGTTGATCTTGAATCAGTTACAGCATTACTTCAACGGACAGCCTAAAAACAAATGCAGTTATTGCTGAAATGAGCCCAAATGTCAGGGGCTGTAGAAGACAGAAGCACTCAAAGAGCTGAAGAAGGAGGTACACTGTACTGATAGATGCAAACTGAATTTTAGTGCTTATGGGGTTGGCTGCCCTGGATACTAAAATCTTCTCTCTGTCCACAGACATGTTTGCTTCCCTCCTCTGCCCCAAAATTGTCCTTAAAGGAATATTCCTAGGTGATGCAAACAGCTTCCCCCTCTGCAACCCTCCACTCCTTCCTCTTTTTTTTTTCCCTTGTGCAGCCCAAAGAAGTGGAGTGAAAACAAAGCATTTCCTGAATGGCATTTTCCACAGATAATGTCAGGGAGACAGAAGGCATGCAACCATCTGTAATGCTAAACAACTATATTCTCCCAAATCCATACAAGCTCACATTAACCAAAGTGGTCCCTGCAGCAATTGCCCTGATTTCATTTTTTTCCCCAGAAAATCTCTGGTTACCAAAGTCCCAATCCTGTCATGCATATTTGTCCCAGACTTGAGAAAAACCCCAGAGAATGCTTTGAAACCAGATTATCACCAATCCCCAAATCATCAGCTGTTTCTGTTCATGTTTAGCCTGCGTTGGTCTCCCTGCAGTTCTGACAGACACATCAAAATAATAACTCGCAAAGGCAATTTCAGAGACACGCAAGTCCATTGCCATGCTTCTTATATCACTTATAACTCTATACAACCTAGCATAATACATTTGTATACTTCTTTTCTGCACATTTTCCAGCCATTATTGACAACAACGTGAAACTTGCAGACAAGAGAGATTTGTTCATCCGCCAGCACATTTACAAACATTTCTCTCTCCACTCATGGGCAATAATTTAACTTTTTTTTTTTTTTTTTTTCCCCTGTCATTCAAGCACAAATCTGTACATCAGCTATACTGACAGGTCCTGCATATCAGGTATTTTTTTAAACCAGCCTCAAAGCATTCCCTTACAGCTATTGAACAGGTCCACATAACCTCTCCACACTACTGTGGAAACCAGAAAATGATGAAAATAATGACATTTAAGCTTATAGGGAAGTACTGGAGCAGATAGGACGTTTGTCATCATGCCTAATACGATTTCTGATAAAATGAGAAAGAAGCATGCAATGCTTTCCCTAAAAAAAAAACAGGGTGTGAA